TTGCATAGCCAAAACACTGGCAATCGCTGCCTCCTTCCAAATCTTTTAAAGTCACGGAGCAATATTTTCAGGATTATGCTGCTGCCTCTGAGGAGGGAATGTCGCCGGCGTTAAAAAAAAAAAAAAGCTAATGCAAATTAGAGAAAAATAATTTTCTTTCAGCGATATGCAATGTATTAGTCACTTGTTATCATGCTTAGAGGCAGACCTCATTTGCGCGTCTGCCAACTCGTTCACATCTGCTCAGAGCTGTTCAGGGCATTTTAACCTTGGCGGTGTCGTGTCGTAGTCCCACGGATCAAGAACGAGTAATTAAAGCTCTAAGCAGCAGCAAAAAATTCATAGCCGCCCATCTGCATCGCAGTTGATTCGCTGCTTTGTTTCGGTGCGGAGCGCCGGGATGGGAAGGCAGGGCCGGCGGCGGCCTCCGTGCTGCCCTCTTCTCCGCCGGGGCACCGCCGCCACCGGCAACTTTACGTCCTTTTTTTCCCCCCTTCATTTTCTTACCTTTTTTTAAAAATTATTTTTTTTTTACAATTTTTCACGGAAAAAACGAGCGTTGTTGTTGGGATTCCTTTTCTCTTTCCCCGGTGTTTTCCGCACGCCGAGGCGGGCGGTGGTTGGTGCTGGCTGTGCCCACCCTGGACGTTTGCCTCTAAAGGTCTGGAGAAGGTTGATGCGAGGTCGGGACACGGAGTTGCAGCGACGTTTAGTCGAGGTGCTCGTAATGCAGCTTTCGTAAGCGAGGGCTCGCCAGCGCTTTCCAGAAGTGCTCGGGAAAGCGTTTCCCGTTAAAGAGAAACGTTAGCGCCATAAACCCGACATAAACTTTGGGGCGAGGCTAATTTTTATGCATTGTTCAGCAGAAACCGAGCTGTTTGTTTGTTGTTGGGAGGAGGAGGGAATAAAAGAAAAAAAAAAAGGAGGAAAAAGCCCCAACTTCCCAAGCACTTTTTCTTACATGCGGCCGGCGAAGGTCCCCGTGCCCTGGCCCCGGCCCCGCCGTGGCTGTGCAGACAAAGCCCTGCGGGGAGCGAGAGGCTCCCCGGCCGGCCTCGCTAGGTAGAACGAGAGACGGAGGCACCTAAGTTTAATATTTCCCTGTTGTGCGCCGGCCATTTGCTGCATGAGGCGCGGGAGCCGCCGTCCCCCGGCGGGGCTGCGGGGCTGCCGCTGCGGAGAGGGAGGGAGGGCCCTGGGGGGAAGCGGAGGGAGCAGCTCCCCATCCCTCAGCTCCGCGAAGCTGTTGCTCCGTAAATGAGGGAACCACAGGCCCTGTCAGCTGCAGTTATGCAAAATGAAGTCGTCCGTGATCAATATCTCCCAACGTCCCCGACGGATGCGTGGGGGGACCGCCCCCGCCCAGCGTGCGGCGGCGGCTCCGCGCCGGGGAGCGGTGTGCCGGGGTGGCCGGAGGGAAACCAAGGGCGTACGTCCCATTAATCACTCCAACCTCCCCCCCCGGGGGTGCGGCGGGGGCTGGGGGAAGGAAACGGGGGGCCGTGCTCCGGTATTTCTGCAAGGATAACGTTGCGGAAGTCAGCGCAGGCCTTCGCCCAACTCTCTCGCAGGAGCGCTGGGACTTTTGTATTCGCTGGGGGGGGCTTCCCCCCTTTCTCTCGCCTCATAAGTTTCCCGACCTATTGGGGGCGGGGGGGGGGCTCGGCGGAGCCCGGCTAATGGCGAGCCCGTGGCGCTGCGCTCGCCCAGCCTCCCGCGGCCGAACAATGGGGGACGAGCGGGGGGAAGGGGCTGGCTTGGTGGTATTTTTCTTTTTTTCTTTTTTTTTTTTTCCCCTCCCCTCTCTCTTATTCTTTCTATCCCCCTCCTGGAAAGCAAAAGCTATACGGAATAAAGGCAACAATGAAGGGCTCCCGGGATGCCGAGTGCGCGGCGGGTTAATGGGCTTGGGGGGGGGGGGGGGCGCGCAGGCCTGCGCTTTTCCTTCCCCGCTCCGTGAATGCGGCCTTAAATTACCTGAAATGCACATTTCTGCTTGGCCCGCGGTGCGTGGGTGTGTGTGCCTGCATGTGTGTGTCTCCCTCTCCTACTGCTGCCGCTGCTCCTCCTGCGCAGCCCAGGCTCGGCTGCTGCCTGTTGTCTCTGGCAGCAGCAGCAGCGGAAACCTCGCTCCCGTGCGTGTGTGTGTGCGAGTGAGTGAGTGTGTGTGTCTAAAATGGCGCGGACGGCCTGGGTAGGGAGATGCCGCGGCGGGTGGGCGAAGGAGGGAGCCCGGGCTCTTACCGGGGGGCCCCGTCTGCGCGGGGGCCCGGGAGGTTCCTGAGACTGAGCCGGTTTGCGGCTCCCTCCCTCCCTCCCTCCTCCGCCACCGCCTCCTCCGGCAGCCTTGCTCCCGGCACGGCCGGAGCGGCGGCAGGAATCCCCCCGGCCCCCCGGGGGGAGCATCCCGCCCGCCACCGCGGTGTGCGCTGGCGGGGGACGGAGACATCTCCCGCGCCGGGGGGGGGCGGCTCGGGGGCGGACGCCGTAGCGGCGGTGCAGGGCTGCCAGTGCGGCGGACGGGGTCGGTGTTTCCCGCGAATCTCTGGGAAATCCTTCATGCAGTGATGCCTCAAAGTTGGGTACCAGCTGCCTCACCTCTCCCCGCTGTGTGCGTGGGAGCCTTTGCAATCTCTCCGTCGCACCCCCTCGATGTGTTTAAACCGAAGGGAGGGAAGGGGGGGATGGGAGCGAGTGCCCCCGCCATGCAAAATGTCCCGTAACCTTCAGGTGTGGGCATCGCCGTGTACCGAGGCAGCTTTGCCCCCCCGAGGCAGCCTTGGCCCCCAGGGCGCCCCGACGAGGTGTGTGGGGGGGTCTGGATCTTCCCCTGGGGCTCCACGGCGGGCACTGCCGTGCAGGCTCCGGGGGAGGCAGCCAGGGTTATTTGAAGGATCGCCAGCCATTTTAACTTTCCCTCATTGGCCTCCTCCCCCGCCCCCTTCCCCAGTTCGTAGGCTTATCATTAATTGAAAACTTTCCCCCCCTCTCTCTTTTTGGCTGCCGCCGGCGCTGAGAGCGATGCAATGATTCGCCTCGCAGCATATGGGAGAGGGGGAACGCGCCGCTGCCGCTACGGCTCTGCGACTGTCTGTGCAGGGTCCAAGGCGTGACAGGCGGCGCGGGGGGAGCGCGGGGGCCGCCGCTCCCTCGGGCCGCCTGTGCCGGAGGGGCCGCCCCCGCCGGAGCCCCCTGCGGGTGGAGGTGCCTCCGTGGGGCCGGAGCCAAGCGCAGCCCGGCGTGGCGGTGCCCGGGGCGGGGAGGATGCCCCGCTGGTGCTGGTGCGGGTGTTGGCTCTGGCTTGGCGGCCCCGGGTGCCCTCGGTCGGCTCCGCCGCGCCGTGTTTACACGGCAGAAAGTCCCGGTCGCTGTTCGACACGTGACGGTGTGGGAGCCGCGGTGAGGGGGGGACACGGGGACGACGGGGGTGGCTGCGGCAGGAGGCTTAAAAATAGACGCCGACCCCCTTGCGCTGCCTGCACGCTGCCTAAACCGAGATGCACTACTGTCGTGCATGACTCAATATGTATTTTAAATCGGTTTAGCGATCTCGCTGGCGCATTGTGCTTAGCTTTATGGTTAAATGAAATGCCACACGTCCCGGGTAAAGGTCAAACTTCTTCTCTAATCCGCGGATCCGTGCGGCGGCTACTTAGTCTGCAGCTTCCTCCTCTGGTTTACAAAACGTGTCACTAGCGGTGATGCCGTGTGGAGGTTGCAAAAAATAACCCACAGTATTTCTTATTTTTTTATATATATATGTATAAAAAGCGCAACCAAGCCTGTTCTTTAAACACTTGTCTAATATTAGATCGCTGGCTGCTTCCAGAGCTTTATACGGCGCATTGTAAACGGTGCAGCAATACGGTGTCTCTGAAGTCTGCTTTCTAGCAGTGGCACAGGTCGTTGTTTTTGTAACTCGTAAATATGTAAGTCGGAGGTATAAGATAAACGAGGTACCCAAACACATTCATAAGCATCAGCTCTGTATTTAAGCTTATAAATACCCTGCGAGTGCTGCCCTTTAAATCAAGCTCCAGATGAACGGGGCTGAGGGCTAATCGAAGTGGATCGCTACGAGTCCCCGATTGCTTTTCACTTCTCTCTCAGGGATTTTCACAAATCTAGAAATGATCCTTCCACTGGCCTGGAACCGGGCGGCGGCGGGGCGGAGTGGGGGGGAAATGGTGGTGATGTGGGGGAGGGATCAGAGCCGCGTAATTTATTACATCGTTTTTGATATCCGAAAGGCCAGGTTGTTTGCCTGCCGCTCCGTCGGTGCCATCGGCGCTCGCAGAAGTCTTTTTTTATACCCCTCGCAGCCCTCCCCGCCGGCTGCCGCTGCGCTGCCGCTGCTGCTGCCGGCTCCGTGGCTTGTGCAGTGGAAACTGGCGGGCTGCCAGGCGGAGCTCGGAGGTGGAAAAGAGTAAAGGCGCCAAAAGGGAACTCGTGCGCCGCTGCAATTCTCCTCCCGCCCCGCTTCCTGGCTCGCTGCAGCCGCCGGCCCCGCCGGGCTTCCTCCAACCCCCCCAGCCCCCACCTCCCCCTATCTCCCTCCCCGCTGAGACTTTCACCTCCCAAACTCGGCGCTGGGCACCTCGGGGTCATGGGGGGGCTGGGAAGGGAGGGGGCAAGAGAAGGCTGTTTTGGCCCGAGTGGTGATGCCATCCCCTCCTCTTTCCCCCGGAGGCGCGGAGAAGTGGAGGCTTCCACCTCCTCCTTCTCCCCCCTCCCCGCGGGCATCGGGTTTTTCTCGTTTCCACGCCAGGAGCGTGTTAACAAAACTTTGCTGCTGCTGGCGTCAATGGCTGCCAAAAGTCTGTTGACGTTGCGAGGGAGACCCAAACGTTTCCCTTTTTAATCAGCGCGGTGTGTGTCTGTGCCTGCCTCTGCGGCGCGGGGCCGGCGGGGCGCGGGCCGGTGGGTGTTCCCGGCAGGGCTCGGCTCGGCTCAGCACGGCACGGCTCGGCACGCCGGGGCCTCGCTCGGCAGCACGCCGGGAGGCAGGTTAGTGCTTGCAGGCGCTTTTCACAACTGGTTTCGCACGGCGGCATCGCTGCGGAACCGCGTGTGCGCTGCGCGTCTCACTCCCGCCCCCCTCCCCCCTCTCCCCGCGCCTCCCCCCCTCCCTCCTCCGTGCATCACCGTCTATATTTAGCCGCAAATGGCTTTATCGGCCAGACACCTCCCGGAGGAAATGCCGTGCGCGCTCCGGCTGCCGAGCCCCGATCCGCGCCCCGCCGCGCAGCGCGGCGGGGGCAGCCGGGGGGGCTGCGGCGCCCCGAGACGCGCCGACGGTGGCCCGGTGGGTGACGGGCGGGGAGGACGAGTACGAGGAGGAGGGAGGGAGGAAAAGAGAGACGTGTCCTCGGTTTCCTCCGTGCGCTGGGGCGCTCAGTCTGCCGTCGAGGTTGCATAACGGGACCGGCTGCGCCCTCCCCCGCGGAAGCTGAGTATAAATAGGTGCGGTGCCCCCCACGCCCCCGCCGCCGTCGTTGCAGCGCGGAGGGCTCGAGGAGCTGCCGGCGTTTGGCCGAGCCGCTGAAGTCCCCTGCGAGCCAGCATCCCCGACGGGCTGCTGCCTGCGGGGAAAAAGAGGGGGGAGAGGGATGGGGTGTGCGAAGAGTTAAGAGTCTGCTGCTTGTTACAATGAAATTATGGCTGGCAGTGGCGCCGTTTCTCGTTCAGCAGACCTCCACTTTTAAACAGTTCACAAGAAGTTCATCAGGGAGGCGATGATTATAACTGCACACATGCGCACCCAGGGCGGGCAGTGACAAGGGGTGGCTTTGGGGAAGGGACTGGCAGCCGTCGAGGGCGCGGGCTCTGACCAGTGCCCAGTGGCCCCCAGGGCATCCCACCACGTCCCTGCGACCTGATGGGCTTTGCCCTTGCTTGGGTGGTGGGACATGGAGCCTCCAGATTACCCGTTGTGGCTGGGGAAGCTCTCGGCCCCCTGTGCAACTTCAGCCTTTCGCTATCTGCACGTGTCAGGGGATTGATGGGCTCTAATTCAGGCACTGCGCCTTATCTTAATGATACACTTCCACCGAGGAAACCAGGCCGGGCACAGGCGGCCTCTCCGAGGAGAACGGGGCACAGGGAGCAGGACCATGTGCCACCGAGGCCCTTCTCGGAGCTGGTGTCGGTCCCTCACAGATAAGGCAGCACATGGGGTGGCTACTAACCTTACGTAAAACCCTAAATCACTCTCTCCATGCTGCTGCTGCCTCTATTGAAAACATTACGAGCGGCGCATCTGGAAACCAGTAAATCTGTCCAGAAAACGTCTTTCCAGTGAAATAGCTCCTTTTGAATGATAGTGCGCTATCTAACCTCCACGGATTTTTGTTTCCTCACAGCAATTTGTGCGGACTTCATTAGGGAAAGCTAACCGTTGTGGAGAGAGGAGGGTCAACATGCCATTTCATTAATATACATTTGTTCCAGACGTGGAGTTTTGCACAAAAGGCCTCTCTGAAGAGAGAAAAAAGTGTTGGGGAACAAGGCTTTCCTGCCGTTTCAGTTCTTAAACCCCTCTGAACCGCGCGTGAAGTATTGTGTTAAAGGCCCAATCTGGGCTTCTTCCCCATTAAATGCCAAAGTGATCATTTGCATATTTTGTAGTCTGACAAAGGATATGAGTTTGCTGGGGAAGCATGGATGCTTTGGGAGACGTTAAGCATTAAACTCCCAGTGGTCAATCACCCGTTACTGGTTTGTGTGTGTGTGTGTAAAAGGAGTATCATGCCTCCTGCTTAAAGGCTTCTATTTTTGTGAGAGAGGAAGAGCTGAGGGATATCCTGTGCATTAAAGGCTCCCCCTACTTATTAACCCAGCATTTAGCAGCAGGATGCAGGCTGAAGCTCAGTCAAAAGAAACGACTCAACCTCCGAAGAGCAATTAAAATCTTGCACTGGAATAAATCATGCGCCGTGATAATCCTGTTAATAAAACGCAGCTTGTCCTGACACTTCGCTCATGCAGCAAACTAGAATTTAATGTGAGCGGAGGTGGCATTAGGCAGGGTAGAGGGGAGGAAAAGCCTTTCCCTCTCTGCTGCTGGACGCGAAAATGTGGTTACGTTTCACCTGCCTCTCCGGCTGCACATGGCGCCGATCCTCTTGGACTGCTAATACTTCTCCAGTGAGCCTGCTAATGATTTCTTTCCCTGGAGTGAGCAGGCATCATTGAATTACCGAAAGCACTCGCAGCAGCAGCAGCAGCAACAGCAGCAGCAGCAGCAGCAGCAGCTCCAATGCAGAAGCCACCAGGGCTCCGCACTTAATCAAATCAAGGGGTGGGGAGCTTGCCAACCCACTTACTATTTTTAACCCCTTTCTCCAAGTTAGTCATGTGCAGATGCTAAAGGGGAGGTTTTTATTTAGATCCCTTCTGTAGCAATGTCTCTTCAGTTTTAAGTCCTCGCGTAAAGGCCTTATCAGCGATCAGTGTAGTGAATACATGGGGTATGTGGTTGTTCTTGCCATGCTCTCCTACTCCTGTGTGTTCCTTATACAGGGCTTTGGTGACCACCTGTGGGTAGTTCACATATTCCCCCAGGCCCATGGGGTCTCCCTCCTTGGTTCAGTCTGTGTAAGATGACGATTTGGGGGCTGGTGTGTACTTGACCAGCTGAGTCATTTCTCGTGGAAATGAAAGGCTGCAGAGAAACTTTTATTTGTCCATAGCCTGGAATGATTCTTAATTTTCTGGATGTGAGCTGGGGAGAAGATCCATCTCCTCTGACCTATAAATGCCCTCAATTTGCTCCTTTATTGCCGGGTATCTCCCTTAGCGGTTAACGTAGGCAGCTCACTCCCTGCACCAATCCTGCATTCATTATTAATTACCCGGAGGGAGGCTGGCTGCTCCGCCGTGGTGTTTGCACTTCCTCCTAGACAAATCTGCTCAACTTTTTTTTCTTTTCTTTTTTTTTTAATAGAATATAAAATTGTGAAGAAAAGCGGTGATTTTTAAGAAGACGTCATGCTTTCTGCAACTCCCCTGTATGGCAACGTTCATAGCTGGATGAGCAATGAAAGGGTCCGCATGTGTGGAATTAATGAAGACAGGTAAATATTTAAGCTTCTGGCAAGTTAAACCACACTGTAATTCTGCAGAGTGACGTTCTCGGAGTTTACTCGCTTCCCTAGTAGTGGAGCAGATAGCTGCCACCTTGCATTGAGATCAGCCCAGCTTGGAGGGAGGGCAAGGGGAGAGAAACAAGATGTGCCCGAGAGCAGCAGAGCAGATGCTGGTTTACTATTTAACAGGCAACCTGGGTCAGTGAAGTGGGGACACCCTTTAAAGGGATTACTCCCCAAAGCAGCCCTTAAAGGTGCTTTTACAATTAATTTATTATTTTGTATTTATGAAAGGGATTTAAACCAAATAGTGCATGTGTTCTTGTGGGGACTCTTTGTGGCAGAGGGGCTCCTGCCTCTAACTCCTGCCTCATGCCTGTGACTTTTGCATTCCCTGCCTTTGGACCAACAGCTTATCCTGTGAAAGAGGATCAGTAGTGGCCTTTCCATCTCCCACATGTGAATTTTTCCTCCCCTCTACCTTTTTTCCTCTTGAGTATAATTCAGTCGATGATTAAAATTAGTCTTCAATAGTTTTCCTTGGGGTGGCACAGTCACTGGCTGGTGTCCTTTTCCTTTAAATCCCATCTTTCTAAAAAGCAGAATGATGCTGAGCAGAACCACTGCAGATACACCTGTGGTTCTCTGTGTCGATTTTGTGTGGTTTTAGTGTTTTTCTGTCTTCTCAGCCCTTGTTCTCACTGTTGTGTGAAAAACCTTCAAGAAGCTGGGGAAACTTTTTGGTCTTTGCGGGGAATACTATTTGCAAACATGAACTAAAGGAAAACGACCAAGTGTCTCACTTTGCTTTCTCACCCTTCCTCCTCAATTTCCTTACAGTTATTGAGGGATAATAATTTTACATGTTATTTGCAGGAAAGGCGAATCTTTTTAAAAACAAATGCATTAAAATCGTATTTCTGCTCTATGGTGATGGTGTGCCTTTAAACACTTTGATTGAAAGAAGTTCTTTTGGGTAATGCTGAAACTTTCCTTCTGTTGCATGTCAGCAATTTTTATCCCTGGGATTTGAAATTTGGCGCTAAGGTATATTCCTTGTTGGTGATTTCTGTGATAACAAGCCCCAGTGCTGCAACACTGGTATAGCACAGATGTGCAACTCCCTCTTTAGCATGGAAGAGCTGACGTTCATATGATATTGGCATGTGTGTTTTAATTCTTTTCCTCAGCAGTGTTTATGGGTGGTACATGAACAGGGTATGTTTAAAATGGGATATTCTCCCCTTGGAAAAAGAAAAGGGCAAGGGGGAAAAGAGAAGACCTTGATGAAAACCACTTGCTTTGGAAGAGGCCACTCTGAGATGTGCCTGGTGTGTTCTTGGTGTCGAAACCCTTTATGCTTATTTTCAAATGGTCCTTGCTTTTCAAAGTAGTCTCTGTGCATGGGGACAGAGGAGGACAAATACGTTATCTCATGGTACATCTTGAGGGGGATCAAAATATGGAGGTGATATGATCTTGTACTGATCCAAGATGCGCAGAGTGTTTTCAAATAGTAAGTTTCTGTTTTTTAATAGGAAAATTCCAGTTAATGATGGCGATGCACCGAAAAGCAGACTGGAGTTGAGGGAAGAAAATCACCTGAATCACAGTGTGGTAAGAAGTTAAAAGCTTCATGCTGCAGATGAATCTGTGCCTGTCCTCACCACCCCAACTCCTGCCCGTGGATATTATTATGTGATCCATTTGGAGAAATGATTAAAACGGGTTTCTGTTGCAGCTCTAGCAGGCTTGGGGACATGAGTGAAGCTGGGGGTTTATTTGTTTATCTCATTAATCTCTTGATGCTGGCTTTGTGGTGTATGTTGTTGTATGATGTCAGGTACTTAATTTTGCCGTTACAAATAATGTCATGCAGAATACTGGCACGTAACAAAAATAGTTCATGTAAGCATTAAGTGCATCAATGTTTCAGCAAAGTTGGTGGATTTTTTCTTTCTTTGAGTGTACATGGGGAGTAGGAAGTGGGAAAGAAATTCCATGGCGGACCTTTCTTCATGCTGCATCCTCAGAAGTCTCACCCTGTGAAATGTAGTGGTGAGTCCTGGAGTAGAACTGTGGCGGAGGAAGAGATCCTGGAGGAGGAGGAGGAGGAGGAGGAGAGGCACTCCATCCTTCTCTTTCTGGTATCCATGCCACAGCCCACATGCACTTGCTCTTGCAGGGCTGGGGCTGAGAAGCCTGTTGTCACACAGAAGTGGTGCCACTGAGCATCGTCTCTGGACCACTTCTGGCTACTTGGGTCTTCACACTTTTGTTTCTGGCTGTTGAATTTTGGATATGGAGAGATTGGTGCTGATGTTGCTCCCTAGGTTCCTGTTCTCCCATTTTCAAGTGTGACCAGCCTCTGTACATTTTCAGAACAAATACCATGTTTCTGTTGTTACTGTTTATCTTCTGAAATGCTGATCTATCTGTAGCTTGAGTGGCAGTCGTGTTAGTTAGATGTGAAAGTAACATACTTCTTGTTCTGTAAAGGTGGATGCGACTACAGCACATCGCATTGACAGTCTCGCAGCTCTGAGTATGGACAGGTCTGGCCTCATGCGAGAAGGACTCAGAGTCCCCAGTATCTATTCCAGCTTGTGCGGACTTGGCTCGGAAAAATCACGGGATGCTACGAGTTCGATAGCTGGCCTCGGATTTACTCCTGAAAGAAATCCAGAGATACAGTTTAAGTCTAATCCTCCCGAAGCGGTAGAAAGCGCAGCTGTCTCTGGAAAAGCCCCGAATGGCTTCAGCGCTATTTACAAAACGCCACCTGGAATACAAAAAAACTCTGTCCCGACGGGGGAGACGCTGGGTTTGGACCGAGCTGCGGGTGACAGGCAGAGTCCTCTCGGTGTCAATGGTGCTAGTTACCTAAGGCTCCCCTGGGTAAACCCCTATATGGAGGGCGCAACGCCTGCCATATACCCTTTCCTTGACTCACCAAATAAGTATTCGTTGAACATGTACAAGGCATTGCTACCTCAGCAGTCCACCTACAGCTTGCCACAGCACCTGGCTTACTCACCTGTATGTACGAACGGTGAACGTTTTTTATACCTGCCTCCCTCCCACTACGTTGCTCCTCACATCCCTTCGTCGCTGGCGTCGCCCATGAGGCTCTCGACTGCTTCGGCTTCACCGGCAATCCCACCTCTGGTGCACTGTCCGGATAAGAGCTTGTCGTGGAAGATGGGTGTGAGCCCAGGCACCCCTGTCGACACGCACGCCTACCCCCACATCCAGAGCAGCAAGCAGTCCCGCGTCCCCGCTGCCAAGCCGGCCCCTGCCAACATGCCGGCAGATCCCGCGCTCCTGCTGCCACACTCGCCCCGGCCGTCCCCCCGCCTCCCTCTGCCCGCCCAGGTGGGGGATGCCTACACGGATTTCCACAAACACTTCCCTAGGATCACCACCTCTCCCTCCTCCGCTGTTACTCTCCCAAAGCCCTACGTGAACGTTGGTGGTGAATTTCCACCCTCTCGCCTCTCCAATGGGAAGCTTCCCAAAGGCAGCGATGCTGGTGAGGCACCCCCACCATCTGCTCCCCATGCACGGAAAGCTGGCCACGACCGGAAAGACGGCAGGTCTCCCCCGCTCCTGGAAAAGCAGACCCCAACTAAAGATGTCACCGACAAACCCCTGGACTTGTCGGCGAAAGTGGTTGATGCAGAAACTGCTGGCAAGTTGGACCATGGTAAGAAAATTATGCCAACAGTGCTGGTGCATGGAAGAGCAGGAGGGGGGACGCACTTGCCTGGCAGTGACATCATTCAGAAAGAAACCATTTCTCCCGGGAACAGCTGCCCCATCTACAGGCCTGAAATTATCAGCACGGCACCATCCTCCTGGATTGTTCCTGGTCCCAGCCCCAGCGAGGAGGCTGGGAAGAATGTCCAACTGAAAAACAAGGCACTGGACTGGGTTATCCCACAGCCGCGGAGCTCCTCCTGCCCCAGGATGGGTGGCACGGAGGCAGTCGTGGGCAGTGTTTCGGGGACGGTGTCAGCGGGAGGGCGGCCAGCGTCAGCATCACCAGCTCCCAACGCCAACGCGGACTGTCCCAAGGTGGCTCGGAGCTCTGCGGAGAGCACTGCCTCAGTTATCCAGCACGTTGGGCAGCCTGTCGCCACCCCTGCGAAACAGAGCAATAAGGTGGCCAAATCCTGTGGCCAGGAAGCCAACTTCAAGGCGAGTGAGACTGCCCTGGCCTCCAGCCCCATCTTTCTGCCACCCAACGAGGCGTTTCGCTCTCCACCTCTGCCCTACCCCAGGAGTTACCTCCCGTACCCGGTGCCGGAAGGGATAGCCATCAGCCCTCTCACCCTCCATGGGAAAGGACATGTGTATCCACATCCTGTCTTGCTGCCCAACGGCAGCCTCTACCCCACTCACCTTGCTCCCAAACCTGGCCTCCCCTACAGCCTGCCAGCAGGGCGGGGGGAGTTCATGACCTACCAGAACGCACTGGAAATGGGGATGGTGCACCCCATGCTGCTGCAGCATTCAGCTCTGGAGATCAGTAAGGAGGAGAAGCCAGAAAGGAGGTCACGTTCTCACGAGAGGGTCCGATATGAGGACCCGTCTCTGCGGGGCCGGTTGCCAGAGCTCCTGGAGAGTGGCGGGAAGATGCATTTCGAAATGCCCGGTGACAAGAGCATGAAATTGCACCAGAGCTCTGGCCATAATAAAAACTCGGCAAAAAGCGACAAACACCTCTTCCCGGATCTTCTCCGAGACGAGCAAGAGGCTAAAAGTGAAGCAAACATAACAAAAGCCAGCTTTGCCACGGAAAGCAGTAATCAGACTAATGACCCTACAAAGCACAAGGTAGAGCAGGCGCCGCAGCACAGAGATTTTATTGTAATGAGAGAGGAGTTTGGAAGAAATAACGATCTTCATGAAACCTATAATTTCAAGCAGGCCCAGAGTTCATCAGTGTTCGGCTTAAGGAAAGAAGATTTGTCTGTGAGCCAGCCTAAAGAGAGAGTGGCGGTCCAGCCTTCGCCCGTTTTCTTGGAAAGCACTCACGAGAGTGATGCTCCAGCTCTGGCTTTTGGCAAGGTGCAGGAGGACGCGAAGCCATTCTGCATGGGGACCGCGCCGCCGAGCATCGACACCAACCAGACCTATACCAAAGACGGAGCCGATGATGCAGAATCTGCCGATGGCAAAATACTGAAGCCCAAGCCGTCTAAGTTGGCCAAGAGGATCGCAAACTCTGCCGGTTATGTAGGTGATCGATTCAAGTGCGTGACGACTGAACTGTACGCCGACTCCAGCCAGCTCAGCCGGGAGCAGCGGGCGTTGCAGGTGAGTCCGCGTGGTCCAACAACTGCCGCGCTTTTTGTCGTTATTTCTCTGTTGCGAGTCACAGTTGAGTTTTAAAGTTGAGAGAAGCAATGCAGGTGGGAGAAAAACAAAAGTTTTTTTTCGTTAGGAGCATACTCTCCAGAAACGGTTTTAAATAGCAAAGTCTGTTAATGAGAGCGAGGCGATGTAAAGAATAGTACGTGTGGCTTTTAGGTATGTACGGGCTAATAAGCTTTTAAGGGCTTTTACTGAGATCTGATAAAAATGTTAATGCACGTTAATGAAATGTTTGTGCAGTTACGAGGGGAGTCAGACAGGCATGCATGTTACCTTGGCGCTAGCAATGGCTGTAATTTCTCAGCTGGCCTGTAGTGCCAGCTAGCAAAGCATACCCAGAAGTTGTGATTAGTATGCCAAATGTGCCATTTGATGGAGAGGAGTCGCAGTCATGTATTAGCGGGTCTCAGGCAACTTTTGCGCCAAGTGAACGCGTAGGAAAGAGTAGGAGCGGTATTGAGGTTGATACTGAGGGATGATAGACAGATATTGTGTAGGAATATTCTTAGGGTGTTTTACTTTTAATGAAGGGATGAGTTAAGCCAAATTGTTTTGCATTGTTAAGAAAAGAATTGGTTTATGCTTATAAAAATGGATGAAATTATCTAAATGATCCATTGAGTGCCCATTTTAATTACATAGATGGAAGGATTACAAGAGGACAGTATTTTATGTCTACCTGCTGCTTACTGTGAGGTCAGTTCTTCAAATTTTTATTACTAGACTCTTACATAAACCTTTGAGTTAAATTTCATTTCCAAATACACAAAGGGAAGTTTGTGGGCCATGGTCGTCTTTATTCATTGTACAGTTTTGTGTTGTTGTTTTTTTTATTTTATTTTATTTCTTTTTGTTTTTGTCTCTTTTTACCTCCAAAATGGAATGTTTTTGTTTTATATACAATATACATTTATATATAATCTTTTATATATATATACTCATATATGAAAGAATTGTGTGGCTATTTGCTTATAAGATGCTAGAACACTGTTTTATGAGTCAGGTGTGTTAAACTCCTACCCTTAGCTATCTATCTGAAACCTTTGGTTTTGAGTCAGTTTTTCTTTGGAAATGCTTTCATGTAAGGTAAGGTAAATGAAGTAGTTTTTATTGCAAGACTTTTTTTTTCATATCAATTCTCTTTCTAGCGTGCAATGATGCGCTTCTCAGAGTTGGAGATGAAAGAGAGAGAAGGCCAAACAGCTACCAAAGACTCAGAGGTCTGCAGATTCAGCCAGGCAGACTGGGAAAACTTGAAAGGAAACAGTGAAAAGAAGCCAAAGTCTGTCGCTCTGGAAGATGCCATTGCTGACCAAAATGACAATGACAGATGTAAGCGAATTTAGATGGCTTTCTGAAGCGTATATGTGTCTCTGTGCCGTGGCAGCTTGCAGGAAAGCAAGCAAATCTGTGTGTTCTCATGGTGTTGCTGGTTAAAGTCACTGGCCTTGGCCTCAGCAGGTGCACAGCTGCCACAGATGGTGCCTTCTGTGCTTTGTTTTGGGGTTTGCAAGTTACTGGTTACCGCTGTACCTGTGTTTCAGGAGATAGTTAACTAAGTTACTGCTGTAAAGAGATCCTCCTTTTAATTGGTGTGTTACCACATCAGCCAGTGAAAGCAGAGGTCCAAGGTTATATTTTAAATACAGAAAGGAGATGGGGGAAGAGAGGGAGGCAAGAAGGAGAGTTCAGCTTTCTGAAGTTGCAGCAGCACTGGGAAATGCCAATACTGTAGCTTTCAGGCAAATCAAGGATGGAGGACAGAAGAGTGATGGGGAGTGGGAAAGGACATTATCTGCTAGGCTGGCTTATCCATGAAAGCTGATGGTAACAACCTCAAATGATAAGAAGCTAGTTTGCCTGGGTGTTTTCTTGCTACAGTGGCTGGGGAGGTGCATGTGGCACAGGTTCTTGCAGGCAGGCAGAATCTGTGAAATTCCCCGTGGGGCTGGCAGTTACCTCTAGGCTGTGGAAGGGTGTCAGAGGACTATGGAAAATGCAACATCCTAAAAGTAAGATAAACTCAAATAAATAAATAAATAAATGGTATTAGGGGATTTTTTACTGTATGCAGGAAAAATCACTTCTGTTTTGTTTGAACTCTCGGTGACCATGTGGCTTCCATCGGTTTCTACAATTTTTTTTGCTTTACCTGTACATTTAAGGAATGGATCAGTTCCTCCTTTTGCTACTTTGTTTTGAACAACTCAAAAAAAAAAAATCTATGCTGAAAGCATTTCAAAACAAGAGGAAACACACTGGAGACTGCACCATGCGTGTGTGTGTGCACTGTGTAACTCAGTGGTTAAGTGTGCTCTTCCGTAGGTGGAGATTCATGAGTAGGGCTAGTAGAAAATTCTTTTCAGGCAATTTAATAACTTTGAATTATTGTTCTGGTCTTTGGTTAATGCTTTTGGCGGAGAGCATGCTGGTCAATCGTACTTGCTCAGTTGCTCACCTAAATCAAGTTACTGTGGTGTTGCTGTCTCTGGAATAACAACCTCAACAGAAATCAGCCTGGCAAAATAGCAAGGGAAAGTTTTCATTGTGGAACTGGAGAGGGTACCAGGGTGGTGAGGGGCAGACTGAGCCCCTGGAGAAACTGAGTGGCCTTTCCCTTCTCCAAGCTATACCAAGGGAGCCTTGGAGAGGAAGGCACAGCTGCCTTTGTAGTCCTCATGTTAAAGCTGAGAGCTGGGCAGGCTGCTGCGCTAGCTTCCCCCCTCACCACAGTCTTCCTTGCCCCTCAGAGGACTTGGGATGCCCTGGTGATGTCCTCTGTTAAATTCCACCCTGGAATTTAATCCTAGCTGGAAAGCTAGAAGAGCAGCAGCAGCAGCAGCAGTCTTGTCTTGCTGGCTAATTCTGGCTGCAGGGCAGGATGGGTTCAGCAAAGAGGGGGATGGTGGGCTGAGGGGTTGAGGGATGGATGCAGGGGACTAACAGAGAGAGGGAAGGCTTACTCAGAGGCATGGATGTGCTGCTTGGGACATGGGGAGGTCAGTGGGGGGCTGTGGAGAGGAAGAGCATTAGAGCATCATTGTGTGCCAAAACACCATCCCCCCATCCTTGCAAAAGGCTGATGATATGGTTTGTCTGTAAATTCATTTATTGAGGTCTCTGGCACTTGAATCTGCTGGCTAAAATGTGTTTGAGACTGTTAAATAACTGTTGGAAGCAGGGAAAGTATGTTCAGTCTTAGCTTAGCTCATTCCTCTCCTCTGTTAATTAGCTCTGACTTAACAGGCTATTTCAGAGTTTGGCCGAATGTCTGAACTCCTAAAAGCACAGATCTGTTCTGCTGAGGGAGCTCCTTCTCTGTATGCCTGCCTGGGCAGCAGCAAATACTTACCAGTACAGATTCAGGTCTCAGTAAAAGTTTTTTTATCGTGGTGGTTCACCTCCTGCCCCTCGGGACAGCAGCTGATAAATCAGGAAGCCGAGTTTCACACCTCTTGAATGCCTCTACTGTGGTGGCTTGTGCTCTCCGTTGGGGCTTGAGCCACCAGCAGTCTTAATGCATCTCTCACTGAGCAACCGGTGAAGGGGCGATGAGTTCTGCCTGCTCTTCCCCAGCAAGAGCCAGGGCTACTTACCTCTTGCCTTCTCTTTGCTTTCAATTTCTAACCACACTGTTCGTGCCTTTGGCTCTAAAGCTCCTGAACGGGAACGAGCTGATGGTTTGCAGCCTCATCTGTTCTCCTTTCTGCCTCCTCCTGCAAGCGATCTTGCTGCTGGAAAAGTTGTTACAGCTTGTTTTGTGTAGCGTTTGTCGGGCGCTATCTTAAAGTGAAACACTGTGCCTTTGCCTGTGTGAGCAGGGAATTTAGGAGTGAAACTGGTGAGCTGTTAGGTGTGACCCCCACTGTGCCAGCACTTCACCTGCCCGATGCCGGCAGGGAATTAGGAAACTGCAGCCAAAACTGTGCTTGTGGCATGGAGCCAGCTCACAGGGCTCCCCCGCTGCTGCCTCGGCACAGTCGCAGCCGTGCTTGGCTTGGAGCACTGGAGCCGATCGGGGCCCTGGCAGCTGCTCGGCCCCTTGGCTCCTCTAAATCTACCAGTGCCACAAAGGGCTAAATAACACAGGCAGGTGATGCTTACAGAGGCATCTGATGGGATGGAAACTGCTTTTTTTTCCCCTGGCTGTACTGCACATGTACAGACTTCCTTGGAAGCAAATGAAGGCTCAATACCCGATGCCTTAAACTTTTCCTCTGACTTGGCAGTGCATGGCTTTGCTGTACTAGGAGTCTTCTTAAGCTTCATCATGCCTTCTGGAGAAAGGTGAAAGAGGTGGGCTTTTTTTTTTTTTTTTTTTTTTTTTTTTTTTTGTTTTTTTTTAGTTTTTTTCTGTTTGCTTTTTTTTTTTTTTTTTTTTTTAAGGCCCAAAAGTAAGGGAGGTAGCCATGTTAGCTAATTAATGAGCAATTAAAGCCAAACAGTAAAGTAGAAGTGCTTCAGCTCTCTCCCATCTCGTTTAGGTTTTGCTGGGCATCTGAGACCGGGCATCTGAGAGCAGCTGTGAAGCTGCTTTGTTGCCAAGGTGACTTGTAAATGTTGCTGAGGCAATGCTGCTCTGGTGCATTTTCATAGCACAAACATGATAAATTATGGGATGCATATGTCATGAGTCATAGGATTGTTCAGAGATCAAGTGATTTAAGCTATTGGCACGGAGACACACATCAATACGGGCATGTGATGATCGCATGTTGGTTCGTAACAAAGCTCTCCTAGAATTGAAAATCATACCCGAGTGTGAAAGATTGAATAAATTCTACAAGCTGTGAATTTCTTGACTGGGCAGCATGGTTTTGCCTGTTCATTTAGTTTTCTAGGAGGAAGACACTGCCTGTTTAAGCCTTATCTGGGAAAAAATTACCCCAATATGTTAGAAGCCTGATCTTAAGGCATGAGGTCATGAGGAAGAAGTTAAAGCAGTTTCTATGTGTGAAGGTAAATGGTGTGATGTGCCAAAGCACATTACACTATTGATCTTCAGCGCTGGAGAGGTGTTGGTGTCCCTTTGCATGGTAATCCCCTGCTTTGCTTTACTCTTGCTGGGCTGTGTGTATACTGGAACAAATGAAAGCTGGAGACAGTAAACATGTCCTTTGCTCTGGTCAGTTATTACCTTCCTGCCACGGGACCTAGTGCAATAAAAAGAGAAGAAACAGAAAAGTCTGTGCATTGAGACTGGTGGTTGCTTGTTTGTGCAGTGTGGTAGTCTTGGGCAGAATGAAACAAATGCTGAAAGCTCCCAAACAGAGGTACTTGGAGGGAAAAATGAAATCAGCTGGGTTCCCTCTGCCCCACGGGATACTCAAAATTGAATACTGAAGATGTCTTAGGGAATTTCTTACGGTTGTGATGTCTGTGCTGAATACTGGGTTTTAGCACTTGGATAGTCATTACCATTCTTGGATGAATAAAGGGTGCCTTGCATAAGTGAGTGCAATGAGAGGTTGCTCCTGGGAAGAGGAAAGGCTGTTTTTAGCTGCCATGTTATTTGAACAAAAGAATCGCAGCTTAAACACTAAGATATGTTTCCTTGTTTGCATTGCATGGGAGGGCTTGGTCTGAAGCGGCTGACAGCAACAGGAAGATGGAAAAATGAAAGTAAGTTTTTTTTGGGTGGTGTGTTTGTGCGTATGTGTAACCATTTCTTGTTAGATTGTAACCCATGTGCTAAGGAGGTACAGCTTCAGGCCGAAACCAGATGTTTCTAGTTTGGTATGACGGTGAGAAATGGTTTGGGTTCTTGATGCTAGTTCTCACAGCTGGTGTGAGACTGGCAAATGCTGGAGGCTTGAGGAAGGAACACAATTTAAGAGTTTAATCTCCTTACTCATAGAGGTGTGTTGCTATGAGAACTCAGCATTTATCCTGTGTTTCTGGCTACCTCATCACTGTTTGAATAATGATGATATGAAAACTCCCAAGTATTTTGTTGTTGTTTTCTTCCTCGGGTGGAGAAAAGGATGTTGTAGATACATGGCACGGGAAGGGGTTGGTGGGAACAAAAGCACGTAAATTCTCTTCATCCTTGTCGGGCATGCACGTTATGCTTTTGTTGCTGTGCCTCTTGTTGACATTTATATCTTAATTTGGGGAGACATCGTGTCTGATCCGGGTTGCTTGCAAAACAGTTTGAGGATAGAGTGGAATCTGGTAGTAAAATATTAATAGAGCCTGTGCTCCGTGAGGCGGTCACTGCTGTGCCAAAGGGAAGAACCTCTGGGCACGTGACGTGTCCATGCAGGCTGCGCAGAGAGCCTGACGGCTTGTGGGTTACGCCGTGTCCCGAACAGTGGCTGACCTTTGTCCTTTGGTATTGAAAATCTGGCTGTGGGAGAGGTGGGGAGCATCGGCGTCGGAGCAGAGAGGCAAGGACGCGTCCTGCGCGGCTTCCTGGCCGCGCTGCCGGTGTCCTCCCGTGTTGCTGCAGGATGATTACACAACCGGGATTAGTGTGCGGAGATGCCTCTTCTCTAATGGTCTTAGCTGCATCTAGCGGGACGGATTTCAGAGGCGCGTGTGCCGCGGGCGGTCCTTGAGAGGGATTTCTGGCTCGGCAGCCAAGGAGATGTAGCTCTGATCCCCTGAGGGGTCCCTCTCGGATGTGACCGGGGCGCAGAGGCCAAGGTGTCAGAGCTGCTGGCAGCGACGGCCTTTTGGATGAACCTCAGTAGGTGTGTGCTGTTCTCCTCAGCACGTGAAGCCCTGGAGAAACGCTGACAGTGACAAGCTGTTAGTGAGGTCTCTCTCCTCTTTATTTTTTTAGCACAGTCTGAGCGAGCAGCGCTGGCATCCCCGTGCCAAGTTCTCTTGCAGATAGAGAAGGAATTAATCTGCAGCAGGTCGCGTTCGGTGGTGGCAGGCTGGAATTAGCTTGCTGTTTCCTGCAAGCTGTAAAGATTAAGACCATCACCCCCCCTCCCTACACCCTGCTACTTCCTCTGACCCTGCAAGAGCTTCTCTGGGAATTGGTCAGGATGTGCCTGCCTTTTCTCAGGCCAGACAGTGTTAGGAGCAGGAAAGTTATCCCGACATAGAGACTCTCAGCATGAACCATGGCATGTAGCTGCTGGTACTGCTGGAGATAAGAAGGCTCTAAACAACAGGAGCGTGGCTGAGAGTGCCCTTACCTGATCTGTTCAGGGAAACTGACCACAGGAGTATAATGTTCCCTTATGAAAGGAGGAAAATAGCAGATTGCATTAAAAATGTAAAATGAAATCTGATACAAGCATTTATTTCTAAAGTGATACTTAAAACGTGGCTGGTCCAGCTTCTTTTATGCTGTGTGAAACAGGACTGCTGGTGCTGTTGGTGTGGTTATAGGGTAAAGCTGTGGGGTAGCATCTTCATACCAGATGTACAAACATAGGGTGTTGCCAGGTTCATCCTGGTTTGGGGGGACATAGCATTTTAGAGGCATAGTCATAGTAAGCTGAGATACCTGTTTTCTGGAACATGTCAGCACTGTTGACTGGAAGAAGTGTGACGAAGTGTGTTTTAAAATCTTGAAGGGAGCATGTGTTGGCCAGACAGCCTCTTGGAGAGGAGCATCACCAAATAGCAGAACAGCCCGAGCGTCCTGCTCGCCTGCAAAAAGTCAACTTGTGTTTTGATTTTTCTTGGCCAATATCTTCTGTTGTTTTATAAGCAGCCCTGCAGGCAGCTTCCCAAGCAGCATAAAAATGATGTGGAGTGTCTTCTGGTGCCTGCAAACATCTCCAGAGCCCTTGGTGCTATTTGGAGCCATTTCCAAATTGCAGTGAAGAGAAATTTCATCCGAGGAGTTTTTTCCCCCCTCCCCCCTCAGCCTTCCATTGCTGACAACAGGTATTTCAAGGACAGTCACGAAATCAGAAGGTGTTGTCAGAGCTGTAGGAGGGTGCTCTCAAGATAAGGTGGGATAGAGTTGGGCTGCATCCAGAGGCTGCCAGTGCCTGGATGCTGCTGTGGTGGGGCTGCAGGGAAGCAGTGTTTGCCCTGGTGAAGGGGAAGAGCAGAAGTTGAAGGCCAGGCTGAGGGGAAGGAAACTGAGTAAGGTCAGGGAGGATCGAGGGAGGGAAGGACAACAGAGCTGTCAGGAGTCCAGGTAGGAAACCAGCAGATGTGTTTGCAGGAAGGCAAATGGGAGATGGAGGAAGGGCAAGAAGGGGGAATAGGAAAAGGGACAGTGAACCAAACAACCAAACAGCAGCAGTGATGCAGAAAGAGTATTGGTCAACCAGGAGAGGAGGGCTAAAATGCATGGGAAAACCAACTTGTTTGTGAGAACTGTAAATAGGAAGCCGATTATCTGTGTTGCAGTCTGTACTGCATGTCTGCCTAACCATGCCTCGGCTAGTTTGGTTAAACCCAAGAAAAAACACCTTTTCAAGATGATGATAAAGTGTAATTTTAAGTCAAGCATCCATTTAAAATTGCTTAAGCTGTCTCTGAATTTGGGTAAACAATAGTGGAGAGAAGCTGAAGTTCAGGCAGGCAAGGCAACATGGGTGTTTTTGTGGCTAATTTGTCAGGCTAGTTTCTAGTAAGCTTTTCAGAGCTCACCCGCTTGCTGTTGCTGGAAATATTCCCTGAAAAAAGTGAGGTCTATTTTAAAAGGAGGTGACAAAGATAATATGAGGAACAGTGACTGGCTGGTTACTTGGGGTGAGGAAGCCTTTTTATAACCTTGGATTCAAGTAGCGCTTTTTGCAAAATATCACAGCTATTCTTAGTGGTATTGCTGTGTCTGTGTCTGTGTGTGTTCCGTATCCAATTTATATCTCCAGAAGAAGGGACGAATGCTTTTAAGTCAGACTCTGCAATTCAATGGGAGAAGTTAGCAAAAAATAAGGATTATCATCAGAAGATATTTTTGAAAACAAAGTTGCAAAGTGGGGCTTGGATTGTTACTTGCCGTGGTTTTGGGGGGTGAGGATGCTTTCTGAAAAGAATCTGTTTTCAGTATCTAAAGATGTTTCTTTATTTAAAAAAGTGTATTGTGATGTTTCTATGGATACAAGTATTGTGAAAATTGCGCTTCTTAAATTAATGTAAAAACAACACAAAGTAGCGTGCTTTTGAGGATTTTGTGCTTAACTATTGAGAAAACTGCTGCCTTAGGATGACCAGAGGAGACTTGTTCCAAAGTACAGTTTTGTGTTTATTTGCATGTCTCATGAGCCATCAGTCATGGCGGAGATGACACTGAAGAGATAAGAGAGCAAAGCTTTCTCACAATGAATTGTGTTGTATTTATTAGGTCTTGTAGAGTTTGTTTTTTTTTTTGTTATTTTTAGGTAACTTTACTAGTACAGAAAACACCCGGGGTCATTTTCTTGAAACTCCAGAGGAAAAAGATCTCTCAAGTGAGAAATGTTATTTAGAGAGACATTCTGTATATGAAAAAGCGGAAGACCAGCCAACAGAAGATATTGGCCAACATTCATGTCCACGTCTGGACAGGAAGCGTAAACACTCTGGTGAGAGAGTGCAAAATGATGGCAGCCAAAATGAAAGCTTTGTGGATGAACAGCAGGATGAAGTTATATCAAGAGCAAAAAAGAAGAAGAACTCCAAAGGTAAGACAGCATTTTGCTTTGGTCTCTCTTCAAGGAATGTCTTGTGAAAGGAATGTCCCTTTGGCTTAATGTGTTTCCATTTTTGAACTTGCTAGTTACTAATGTGAGCACTGTCATTTCACTTTAAATTATATATATGTATATATATGTATGTATATATATGTGTATATATATATGTATATATAAAAAGCTTGGTATATAAGGATAAAGCACTAGTCATTGGACACTGTAGCCACAGCAGTGCAAGTTACTGTAGTGCATGTAACCCTTAATGAGCGAACCTTTAAAATGCATAGTGTGGTGGTAAAGCTGAGACTATATGCCCCGAAAGTGAAATGTAGCTTTTGTTTTAAGTTGAGGGGGCTTTTTGATTAATTTTTAGTTATTTTTCCATTAGATGACTGGCCTGAGAGGGAAATGACAAACAATTCCTCTAACCACTTAGAAGAGCCCAATTGTAATGAGGTGACCAACCTGAAGGTGTGCATTGAATTAACAGGGCTCCATCCCAAAAAGCAGCGTCACCTGCAGCATCTTAGGGAACTATGGGAGCAGCAGGTGTCACCAGAGAGATCCCCGTCCGGCAAGTTGGGCCGGCAAAGCAGGAAAGATTTAGCTGAGGCTGTTCAGCCAGAGGCCACTGCAAAGGTCAAAGACTTCACAGAAGAAAGGCACACCAAGAAAAGGTCAGAGGCCAAAAGCAATAGAAGTTGGTCTGAAGAGTCCCTCAAAACAAGTGACAATGAACAAGGTATGCAGAGACTACTAGGGAAACCAGCCGGCTTTAGCCTTTACAGTGACGCATGCTGCCACCGATGTTAAGGAATTGTTGAGAGCTTTTTTTGTTTCTTTTCTTTTTAAGTTTTATATATATATTTCTGTAGCTGTCCATTTGTTTAAGGACTGACACCTCCTCTTTAAGAATTGCGCTGTAGCTGATATTTGTCAGACAAGAAAATGTGTTTGTGTGTGTAACTATGTGTTTGTGTGTGTGTGTGTTTTGGCTTTAAATACTTTAATAGATGATGCAAAGATGAAGTTTATGTTTCTAGAGGAGAGCTGGGGGGGCATAAAATGCAGGCATGCATCTGGGTGAGGGAGGGAGGGAGCAAACAGGCTGCTAGTTCATGTAAGGATGTTTAACCACACGTAGGATTTGAGGGGCTGTGAACCTCTGAAAAAGCGTCAGCACAGATAGCAATTCTTGATCTTGTGGAACCCAACACCTCCAGCACCCTTGGCACTGCTGGGTTTCCCTGCATTTCCCAGGCCATATGCTCAGGAGCAGAGCTCATCCTCCTCCCAACGAGGATGCTTTGCTGGTTCATCCTGACCATGTTCTGTAAACCCCTGTCACACCACTTCCTGGCTCCTTGGCAGAGATCTTCCCAGCAGCTCTCTCTTAAGGGGTTGCTTCCTCAAAGCACATCAGCTTTCCTTGATTTGTTCCTGGCTGCTTCTTTCCCCCTAACTCCACTTTTTCCTTTTCCCCATCCTTTCTCCCATTTCTGCCAGTTCCCTGTCCCGGGGGAGTGGAAACTGTGGAGACAATCTGTCAAATTTTCATTGGGATGGACAGGTCACTCTCCTGTCTCTACTCTCCTCAGCCCCTAAGCACCTTTTCTGCTCTGATGCTTTTCTCCTTCCCTGCTACGTTATGCTGCTTAGTTGGAGAACTGGTGGGGAACAGCATCAGGCAGGCCACATGGCAAATCCCCTCATGCATCCCCTGTACCTGATTGTGAATCCCTGTCTCCTCTGGGCACAGCAGAAAGCCTTTGTCTCCTCTTTTGACTTGTCAGGTGAAAGGTTGCAAATACTCTTCTTTCCTTCCTCCTCTTGCCTCTTAAGTCCTCTACTTGTTTTTGAGGAAAGGCTGTTTCTGGGAGGGGGAGCTCTGAATTGGATGTTTGGGCTCCCTCCTCCTTGACAAACCTGGGACCTTCATCAAACTTGGAAGACACTCACACTCCAGTTGGCCTAACCTGTAGTTTAGCTGAGATCCCCTTAAAAGAGAGAAGCATGAAGAGAGTGGATCCTCTTATCCCATATCATGGAAAGGACTGAGTCCAGATGATCCTGTGCCAGTGAGGGTTTTCCTGGGTAGCGTCTCCGAAACAGTCACAGGCAAAAGTATCAGCTTGTCTTCGGCCCTAAGGCTCCTCATATGTCCTTCCCCTTGGTAGGATTATCTGAGGGCAGAAAACCTCAAACTTTGATGCTTATTGATGGGGAAGGTTCTCCAAAAGGATTTGCGGAGCGGGAGATCAAAACTTGGTTTAAAAGAAGCTTTACCTCTTACTTCCTTGCTTTATGTGCTGCCTTGGCGAGCATGGTATTGGCTCACACACCCCTGCCCATCACCTGCCCCTCTTTGTACTTTCAGAGAGAGATACCTTGTAGAGATTAAACGAGGGTCACTAACAAGAAGCTGCATTGTGTAAGGACGCTCTCACTTTCCCCTGCGATGCCTCCCATGGCAGTGACAGGCTTTCTCTAGCGCATGACCTAAGGGAAGAAAAAGAGGTGACTCCCGCACCGTTTCCAATGGTTCAGTCACCCTATGGCTATGAAAAACCTCTTGGTTTTGGAAACTGCTGTAAAATCGTAAACTTTACTAAATTACGCCTTCTTATTCATTGTACAGGGGCACTGGAGATCGTTCAGATCGTTTTGCTGATGCTCCAGCAGCTCTGTTGAAGTGTAAATCTTTGAATCTCCTTGTTTTTAGTTCACGAGGATGAGGACATTTTTCTCTGTTGTATGACAGCATCCTCTGTGTGATAGTTGCATTGAGATAGAGACTTCCAGCTTGTCTGTCTTGCCTGGGACCAGTCCTCAAACTTTTCTTAAACAAGCAGATATTGTCAATGTGAGAATACGCGCTGTCGTTTGTAGCTTTCTTTTTTTAATCTGGAGCTGGGAACAACTGTTTCCTGTGCCCAAGCACTGCATGCAGATGTGGTAGTCTCTGCTTGTGGGAAGCTGGTTGTATCCCAAGCAGCGAGCCGTAGCACGACATTGAGGTCTGCCTCTATGCCTGTGAAGCCTTAGTCTAACAGCAGGATGATTTGCTGCCTGTGCCTGCAAATCTCTTGGAACACGGAGGGTTCTGATTTCTGTGCTTGTTGCGCCAGTCGTGTTGAGCCTGGGATTTTAGTGTGGGAGGAGTCACGTGTTGCATTGTAAGCTGCCACCGTGCTGTCACCCCTTTGTTCCCCGGTCAGTGCCAGAACCATGAGAGCTGGCATGTGACTTGCCCAAAATAATTTCAGGGGAGGATGGATTGAGAGCAGCCCTGCGGAGAAGGACTTGGGGATGTTTGGGGAGGAGAAGCTCAACATGACCTGGTAATGTGCACAGGCAGCCCAGAAAGCCAAATGTGTCCTGGGCTGCATCCAAAGCAGTGTGAGCAGCAGGTCGGGGAGGGGAATTCTGCCCCTCTACTTTGCTCTCATGAGACCCCACTTGGAGTGCTGTATCCAGCTCCTGGGCCCCCACAATAGGAAGGACGTGGACCTGTTGGAGCAAGTTCAGAGGAGGCTGCAAAGATAGTCAGAGGGCTGGGTCACCTTTTCAATGAGGACAGGCTGTGAGAGGTCAGGGGTTATTCAGCCTGGAGAAGAGAAGACACTGGGGAGACCTTCTAGCACCTTCTAGTACCTAAAGGGGACTTACAGGAAAGCTGGTGAGGGACTTTTAACAAGGGCATGTAGTGATAGGACAAGGGGGTAATGGATTTAAGCTGACAGAGGGCAGGCTTAGATTAGGTTTTAGGGAGAAATTCTTGACTGTGAGGGTGGTGAGACACTGGAACATGTTACCGGGAGAAGTTGTGGATGCCTCGCGTCTGAAGTGTTCAGGGCCAGGTTGGATGGGGCTGACCTAGTGGAAACTGTCCTTGCCCATGACAGGAAGATTGGAACTAGGTGACCTTTAAACTATCTTCCAACCCAATTCATTTTATAATTCTGTGATCCTGCTTGCAAAGTGACGTTGCTGCACAGAGTCTCCAGGACATGGCAGGTCTGTGAGCATGGGGATGCCTGCAACCTCAGGGCATCATACTGCTTCCCCAGACTCATGACCAAGGTAAAAACCACAGTCTCTGCTGGGGTCCCAGCTGAGCTATAACTGCTGGGGGTGCAGTAGCCAGCTCTTTGCATGGTCCCCCAGGGAGCTGCAGCCGCTCACCCGGTGCAAGAAAACCCAAGCTGCGTGGAACCAAAAGCCCTGAGGAGAGGAACCAGGAGGATCTTGCCTACCAGGAAGCCTCTGCCAGCCCCTCAGAACTGCCTTGGGTTACAGGCAGTGTGGCAACCACTGGCTTGGCAGGCAGGAGGAGGCAGCTGCTGGGATGGGAGCTGAACAAGTGAGCATTCAGGTGACATGGCAGCAACTGCTTTTCCATGTGGACCTCTCTGAATCCCGCTGCTGTGGGAAGGGAGACAGGTCCTGCTCTAAGTCAGACTTGCCACAACATACGTTAGTCAGAGGTCTGGGTTTTTGGGGGTTTTTGCATTGGCTTTTTTTTTTTTTGCCATGGATATTTGGGGACATTCCTGCTCACCCTTGTTTTTCTTCTCCCTTCACGTGGTCAGAACAATGGGGTGAGATTCCAGGTTTAATCACTTGCCTCTTTTCTGCCAGTGTTATCTTGCATTTCCCAGGCTGATGCTTGGCTTGTTCTGTGTGGTGCTGGCCTCTTGCAATGTTATTGATCCTGAAGCTCCTGGGCATAGTGTAGCTACTCTCCATCTCTTAGCTCTGGCGCACATTTAGCCTGGTGCCTGCTGTCACCACCCCAGTGGAGGGTCAGAGTGGAGCACAGTTTACATGGAGCTTGCAGGTGGGAATACACATTTTCTTCTGGTTATTAGACTTCTGCTTTCAATGCCTCGGCATCTCTGCATGGGAAAACCTGCAGTTCTTTGAGATAGGCTTCTCTTCCTGTGTTTTTCTTCTCCATCCTTTCAGTATTTCTGACCTTCTCCAGACCTGGGAGTTTTTCATTCTCTTCTAGTTTTTCTGTGTGCAACAGTTTGTTCTGTTTGCACTCACCAGAGCTCATCACTGCTGTTTGCCAGCTTTTCTTTTTTAATTTTTTTTCAGTAAGTGATTAAGTAGGTAATGATGATACTTCTGTATTGGAATTGGGCTTTTTATGTACTACTTCAGTTAGGTTGGTTGGGATTAAACAGGAGAATTAAACACTCCTTACTTCATGCTGTCTACTGAGTTGGAAAGACAGCCTTGCATCCATAGGCTCAGCCTACGACTGGGCGCCTTCCTTCAGGATTGCAAAGCCTGAAAAATTTACAGGATTTTTGCTGAACAATCTGCACATCCTGTGTCCCATAAATTCCCTGACATCTGCTTGGCAAGCCACAATATGCGTCTTTCTCTAGAAAGTGTCTTGAAAGAACTGAGGGATTTCTGTTTTGATCTCTAATCTAGAAAGCCTTCTGTGAGTTGCTTTCACAGATCTATTTAAAGGACGACAAAAGTGTGAAACTGCCCACCAAGAGGATTCTAGATTTTATTTTCTTTTTTACCAACTGGCTCTGGCTCTCTTTAAATAAAGGTGTCTTTTCTGTGAGCACCTGCTTATTTGCTCCTGCCATCTCTTCTGTTCTGAAAGTAGCATCACTTCAGAGACTGGAGCGCAGGAACCTCTTTCAAGCGCTCAGGGTTTATTCTGCACCTTCCCTCAGTGGTGTGGCATTGTTTGGCCGAAGTGTCCCTTCCTTTCCAGCAACCTTTAATTTTTCTGCAGAGGAGTTGGTTCTGAGGTCACCTCAATTCTCTTCCCAAGGGAAATTCAGACTATAAAAAGTCAACTTCACTGTCCTTGTTTTGTTGTAAACCTGCTTGCACTCTGAAAAAACCCCAAAACTTAACCATGCTTTTTGCCTGTGGCCCAGATTGTGAGATCTGGCTTGTTGGAGCTATGACCCCTGGAGAAAACCCAGCCCTGCCAATATCCTGCCACGGGCAGCAGAGCACTGGCCTCACTGCCCCAATGTCCCAGAAAGAGTCAGTTCTGGATGGAGTTCTCGGGAAAACACATGCAATTGCTTTTCCTGCAAAATCCCTGCGCTTTCTGATAGAGCTTGCACAGAGCTTCTGTAGGGATGGCTCCTTGAGTAATCTTTCTTCTCTTGGCTTGTTTTTGAAGTCAAAATGCTGCTGAGGAGATGTTCCCTGTCTTATGGCTATCTTTGGGCTAAGCTCAACGTTTCCTCTGCTGTCCCATTCATACCTGATCCACGCTCCCACCTCTCTTCCTTTCCCCTCTTCCCTTGCCACCCTTGTATCTGCCCTTGCACCCCACCCAGTCAAGGGCAGACAAGCCCAGCTGGGCCCAGGCTGCCGGAGGAGTTGGTTCCCCTTCAGATAAAGCAGTTCCCAGGTAAGGAGGCGAGTTTTTCTCCAGCGGCGTTCCGCTCTGCCCGTGGTGGCCGGGCTGCGGCACTGCCGAGCTGGCATGGCACTGCCACCACCCGGCCCTGGCGCTGCCCCGGCACCTGGCGCGGGGCACTTCATTCAGGGATTTTTATTAGGGCCCGATAAACTGTTAACGTAAGGTCAACTGGTGAGACGCTATTTACAGTTGGGATGTGGAATGCTTAAAATATTAATGATTTGAAAATGTAATTGTAGATCTCTTAAGCAGTCGAGGAGCTTGTGTTAAGTGCTAGCAATGCATTTTCCTTTTAACGCACCATGCGATGTGTAATGCCTTTCCTTCCCATTTAGGCTTGCCCGTATTCCCGGTGTCTCCGCACATGAAGAGCCTTTCATCCACCAATGCAAACAGCAAAAGGCAGGCTCAGCCAAGCTGTACTCCAGCCTCGAGGTTGGCTGCCAAACAGCAGAAAATTAAAGAAAGCCAGAAGACAGATGGGCTGTACACAGACGAAGAGGAGGATTTCCAACATGCATCTCTGCTGCAGAAATACAGCGAGTGTGAGAAGCCATCAGGGAAACGTCAGTGTAAAACAAAACACTTGGCACTGCAGGAGAGGAGAAGGAGGTCATCTCTGACAGGGGATGACACCACAGATATTGAAAATGCTGAAGATAAGGTATCTTTATTTAGACTTAATTGTCTGCTGGCCTCTGAAAAGGCAGAACCAGCCTGCTTAAAACTAATACGCTGTCGTGCATGCAGGGTAGCAGGAATTGCATTCAGATTCGTCTGTGGATGCTTTGCACATTTTGTATTTGTTTTTCTTAAGCTGAGCTAAAGGCACTATTGCAGGGGGTGAGGCATCTTGTGTTAAAAAGCTCTAGCGGGTCTTTCTTAAAAAATTAAATATGAGTGGAAAAGTGTAATTCTTTGCTGACAAAATATAGTCCCACTGCTGTACTGTAAAAACAAAGATTAAAAAAAAAAAAAGCCAACACCGTAATGGTTTTGACAGGTAATGGTAACGAGGAAAGTCAGGAAGCGACCGGAGCCTACTTCAGACTGCGACTCCTCGCCAGCCAAGCCGTACGAGCAGAAGCCGTATGATCGCCTGCAGCAGACTCCCTCATTACTACCCGTCTCACAGCCCTCGCAGCTGCCGATTGCCAGCCCCCCTCAGGAGACCACCCCGAGCCGGCCGATGCCGCCCGAAGCGCGGAGGCTCATTGTCAACAAGAACGCAGGGGAGACGCTGCTGCAGCGGGCGGCGCGCCTGGGGTACGAGGTAAGGCTCCCTGGGCGCCCCGCGGGATGACGATGGTTTGGTTTTTTTTATTTCAAAAGTTAAAATCCTCTTTCCAGTTTTATCGGTGGAAATTCTGCGGAGTAGCAGCTTTCAGTGTGCTGAAAATTTGCAGTTGAATTTGCTGCCCCCCCCTTCCCCTGCTGAGTTCCCTTCCCTGGAATGCGGGGTTCAGAGGCAGGTTGCTGCGGGAGTGAGTCCCCACTGCAGTTGGGTCATTTGGCAGGGACACAGGGTGAGCAACATCCTGTGGGAGTGAGCAAATGGTAAAGTTTTATTGGTAACCCTCACTTCCCTTTAAATATAAACCATCTGCAAACAGAACGAATGCCTTTTTTTTTTCTTTTTTTTTTTTCAAGTAATCTTTATGGTGATCTTTAATGAACTGTATGTTTTCTGCTTTTGTTGTTAGTGAAGAGCGTGTAGTTTAGGAGAAGGGTTTTATTTTATATTCTTTTCTCCAAGGAGTATCTGGTATGTGACACAGGATGTAGCGCTTGGAGTGTCCTCTTGCATGATCAGACGCATCATAGGAGCACTCTGCCTGCTTTATACTTGGAGTCTGGAGCTGCTTGGCGTAGCTGGAACAATGTTGTCTAATGAAACGGGCCCCCTGTTGCTACAAAAATCAGAAACTGATGAATCCTTCAGCTCTGCTGTTTTGAAGCACGCTTTTATTGGGGAAATATGGGCATGAGCGCTGTTGTTGCTCGATGTCATGTCTTGCACAGAGGTGTTTCATCGCACAGAACAACTGCTGCTTTCGGCAGAGCTGCAGGGTTTACCTTGGTGGTAAGAGGGCTGCCTGGACCTCAGAGCTGGGCTTGAGCCCCACATGGGAAGGTGGCATCCGCCCAGGTCCAGGTGGGGCTGTCCCAGCCTTGGGAATTTGTTGAAACCTTGAAATGCCCTTTGTATAGCTGGAGACCTTTGTGTGGAGAGAGGCCTTGTCCAGCTCTGGAAGGCAGGGTTTGTTGGAAAGGTTTTGTTTACCCTAGACAAAGGCCTCTTCTAACCCAGGGCACTTCAGCTCTAGCTGGGAGGAGAAACCGTTGTTACAACATTGCTGTGGTATTCTCCGTAATTTAAATGGTTTAATTTTCTGTGGATCCAAAATCAAAATATGTTGTAGGATGTGCTCCAAGCTATCACTGTGTATTTTCTTCCTGCGCAGGGTCTGTCAGGGTGAATATGCTTGGACACTTCACTTCCTGTGCCCAGCACACTCCACTGGGCACAGCTTAATGGGAGCAGCTCCGAAACTTAGTGTTGGGGTGGTGTCCTGCTCGAGCAGGGGCCCAGGGCTCTCCATTCCTTTGATAGCAGGAGCTCTCAGCAGCATTTGCTGGTTGCAGAAAGTTGGGGATGCCCAGACTTGCCAAGGTGGGGGGTAACCTTGTGTGCCACCCATGCCTTCCCATGATTAGCTGATGGGGGATTTTGATTTTCTGACTTGAATTCACCCAAAAGTTCAAGTGAACACCCATGTTTTTAATAGGTTTAAATATTCAGATCATTTGATTTGCTTGCTCAGCTGGTGCTGGCAGCAGTTGGTTTCTGTTGTTGGGGGAGAGAGGAGCAGGAGAGCTGAGTGGGGGCAGGGAAAGAGGCTGCTCTGTGCACCTGATTATCTGGGATCTGACATTGTCTGTGTCTTTCAAGGCTCAGAGTGGTGGGTGGCTGTACCATCCTGTTGGGGCTTCATTTGGCCTGTGGTGAGCTGTGATGGTTTTTGGGCCAAAGAGTCTGGTCAGGGCAATGAGGCTGGCGAAAGGTCTGGAGCACAAGTCCGATGAGGAGCAGCTGAGGGAGTTGTTTAGCCTGGAGAAGAGGAGGTTCAGGGAGACCTTATTGCTCACTACAACTACCTGAAAGAAGGTTGTAGCCAGCTGGGGGTTGATCTCTTCTCCCAGGCAACCAGCAATAGGACAAGAGGACACAGTCTTAAGTTGCCTCCCCTTAAGGGGAGGTTTAGGTTGGTCCTTAGGAAGAAGTTCTTCACAGAAAGAGTGATTGGAAAGGGCTGCCCAAGGAGGTAGTGGAGTCACCATCCCTGGAGCTGTTTAAGGAAAGACTGGATGTGGCACTTAGTGCCATGGTCTAGTTGACAAGGTGGTGTTAGATCAAAGGTTGGACTCGATCTCAGAGGTCTTTTCCAACCTAGCTGATTCTGTTATCAGTTGTGGAAACTCTGTAGGTGAGGAGTTTTTCTTGCTAGTGACGAGACTACAGCAGGCAGAAAAACTGGATTTCCTCTGTCTCCAGAAAACATGAGAATGGTCAAGAAGTTACAAATTCCTTTATTAAAAATAAAGAGGAGAAATCTGGATGAGTCAAGGTAACATGCTGGTCTGTGAGCTGTGGCAACTGCGCATGTCTATTTTCTGCCACCCTGGTTAGCAGGGCAACAACCTTTGGTGGGCACACGAGGGCTTCCCATAGCTGCTGCGAAGGCAGCGGGCAGCCCCGTGGCCACGTGCCAGCTGAGTGGCAGGGGAGGCAGACGAGTTTGCATTGTCAGGGCCACAGCTCGCAAAGAGGCGCCGGTTGCTGATTCAGGACTCAGAGCTGCAAGTGGCTGGCACCGCAGGGCACCACGGAGCCCTGGCAGTGGCAGGAATGCTGTATTGCCCTGAGACCGGATGAGCTCGTGCCTGCCCTTGGCAGCCTGCCCGCCTGCCTTTGCAGCAAGGGATGCCCTGAGGCCGTGCAGGGTTCCCACTCCAAACCCAGAGGCGGTGCTGGCACCTTCAGCAGGCAAAGGTGCTGGCAAGCTGTAAATGCCACTCCCAGACCCATGGGGAGCCCAAATGCTGCCAGGTCATGTGCCTCTGCCCTGCTCTCAGTCCCACAGCACAGATGTGCCCCAGATCATTGCGGGGAGCACGACACAAGCGGTTACAGTTTTGCGTGCAAAAGCTGACGCGAGAGTGAAATGTCGAAGGACAGATGCAGCTTGTGTCTGGTCAGATAAACTGCAGGGCTGCAGCCAACAAGGCTACTTAAAGACAGTGCAGCAAATGGTCTTCGGCTCTGGAAATCCCTGCTGAAGCTTTGCCTTTTCTTCACTAGGCTTCTGCTCCAGGCCTTGCTTTGACAGGGTGTTAGCAACCCATCCCAGTGTGGGGGCACTCTCCAATCCATTCTGTTTTCCCCGTTTGAAACAAATGACTTGAGATAATGGTAGTCTTAAAACTGTAATTTACTTTTTGTGAAGAGGGAATTACAGGGAGAGTAGAGTCTTTTGGGGGAAAAATTACAAAAAGGCTTGCATAATGAATTTGATGTGAGAGAAAACACTGGCTGTCTTTGTGCCGCTTTTTGGTGTGTGTCTGGTTGTGGTGGTGTTGGCTGGGGTAGAGTTAATTTTCTTCACAGTGGCTGGTATGGGGCTGTGTTTTGGGTTTCTGATGAACCCAGTGATGATAATATAGAGATGATTTTGTTATTGCTGAGCAGTGCTTACGCAGAGCCAAGGCCTTTTCTGCTTTTTGTACTGCCACGCTGGTGTGAGGAGGCTGGGGTGTGTGGGAAACCGGGAGGAGACGCAGTTGGGACAGCTGACCCCAGCTGACCAAAGGGATAGTCCATACCATATGACATCATGCTCGGTATATAAAGTGGGGGAAGGAAGGAGGCAGGGAACGTTTTGGGGTCATGGCATTTGTCTTCCCAAGTCACCGTTACGTGTGATGGGGCCCTGCTCTCCTGGAGATGGCTGAACCTGCCCATGGGAAGCAGTGAATTAATTCCTTGTTTTGCTTTGCTCGCATGCACAGCTTTTGCTTTCCCTGTTAGACTGTCTTTATCTCAACCCATGAGTTTTCCAACTTTTACCCTTCTGGTTCTCTCCCTGATCCCACCGGTGGGGGAGTGAGTGAGCAGCTGCGTGATGCTTGGCTACTGACTGGGGTTAAACCACGACAGTGGCTCGCAAAGTTCTCTGGTCAGTTTGGTATTAAATCCTTCCTGTGAAGACAGTGAAATTAGAGGAATGTGTGGTGTATGATAAGGGGGTGGGGGAGAGAGGATATTTGTTTCCAGGGGGTTTAAACACACATGAAGGTAGGGCTTATCCAGGCATGGGGAAAGGGTTTGCCCTGGGAATATGCCTCATATTCCAGGATCTGGCCCTGAATCTCCCGTGTCACTGCCACAGGAGCTCCTGAGCATCATCCTGCTCTTGCAGTGCTCCCCTAGGACTCCTGCACCCTGCACGGAAATGGGCATCACTCCTGGGGTTTGGTGTGGTGCTGTGGGGAAGTATTAAGGCTCAGCATAGAATACCTCACCCAAGGGCAGTGTTTTGAGGTCGGATGGAGGGGAGTAGTGCATCTTGGTGGCAACAGGCGTGCCTGGGGCATGGGGGATGTGCAGAGGGATGCTGACCTCTTCCCTTGGGAAAGGAGTGGGACTTGCTGCAGGGTACAGGTTGGGTGGGAGACTGATGCAAAGGGCACATCTTTTGATGGAGTACGAATATTTGCATATTTTAAGCTGCTGTTTGCAATTTGGCTAACAACCTACAGGCAGTGGCAGTGGCTGTGGCACATACCTTGGCTGGTGAGGTGCTAGTCTGACTCTTTGGATTAACTGCTAGTGATCTTCAGATTGCTGATTTAAATAGAGCACCTGAGCAGACATTTAAATTACCCTGTGGCATTCTCATAGCCTTTCCTGAATGTTAGTGAGAAATGCTTGTGAAACCAAAAGTGTGTTTGTGGCACCACATGTTCCTGTATTCAGCAACGATGGCTAATTTTTTTGTAAATTGAATAAATCATGTTAAAAAAAAGTTAATGAGGCATTTAATTAATTAACAATGTAGAGTTTTATGGTCTTTATAGTTACATTTTGTGGTTAATGACATTCTTCTTATAGCCTCTTAACACAGAATTGCCCGACAAAATTAGCCTTTTTGTCCAGTAGTAGGTATTCCACCCTAGGACAGCCTTTGCTTTTTACAAAAATAGATGACAGGTCTTTTATTTTGAGTTGCAGAATCTATTTTAAATGATAACTGCGTGCTAAAAGCAGAGCTGAATACGGCAGCTGCTTCTGCTACCTATATCCATCTGCTAATTTGCCTGGCAGAGTGGTCTGGTTTTGAAGGAAAATTCATACCTCCAGAGTATAATTTTGCACAGCCCTTTCTTCTGGGCTTGAGCATGTGCAGGGTAAAAAACATCCGTTCTGGACCAATTTTTGGCCTTTGGGCTGGTTAGCAGGAACATAAAAAACCCCTGTTCTCTTCGGTGAGAGGGGGGACTGTGGGGGTCCCAGGTTAAACCAGTGGGTGAATCAGGTGTAGGTGGGTGCATCACTGGTGGCAGGTGCAGGGGATGCTCTGGTGCCTGGGACAGGCAGCTCATTAGCTCCTGGCTTTAGCCTGGTTAGTGAGGGCCTGCTAAAAGAGCAGCTTCATGCTGTATCCTGGATACCGGCTCTCGAGTCAGGTATACCCAGAGCACAGATTATTGTGGGCTTTCCGGTAGATTCTGAAACGGGAGGAATAAATGCATCACCCCCGATGTTGTTTTCTTCTCTTGTTTTGGCAAACGCTCACCCCCTCCATGCTGTACCTGGCTTTGCAAGGGTGTCACTCAGCCTTGGAGAGGAGCAAATGCCAAATTAATGGTTTACCACTAACCTGGGAACGTGTGGGCTATTTTATACATTGAGCATCTCTTAGAAACGTGTTTTGTTTTGCTTTCTTTTGCGTCTGACACAAGTCGAGGAAGATTCGCGCCATCCTGAATATTTAGTTGAGTGATGGAGCAGTCATTGTTTCAAGGCTGCAGGACAGCGAAGAGCTGAGTCTGGCCTAGGCTCTCGAGCGTGGTATATTTGACTGCAAGATGAATCGTGTTAAATTCACATGGCTTCCTGCGGCGCAGGGCTCGTTACTGGAACCTGGCGCCTGGCTTTAGTTCTGCATGCAGAAACCGGGGTGGATGAAAATGGGATTTCCCCGATCTTGATAGAGCCGGGCTGGTTTTTGTTTGCCGATAGCAAACCATCCTTTGTGTGTCTTAAATGTGTTTTTGTTTCGGGTCACGCACTTTTTCTTTTTAAAATTGAACCGACTGTGTCGGCTGCGCTGCTGTTGCGCTTGCAGAATTTTGTGCTGAAAAATGTAGATGTAAGAGTAAAAACCTTCCAACTAGCTTTACGTGTGGAAGTTTTGAGAAGTGGAAGGTTATGGGTTTTATCTGCAAAGTTTGCACATTCCCCCTCTGTGATGATTCCTGAGGTTGTGTGTTTCGGGAAGGTCCCTGTGGGGTGCAGAGCTCTCGGTGTCGCTTTGCCCAAACTAGTCTGCTCAGGGAAGTCGTGGTCTCTGCTGTGTTTCCTGAATAAATAGGACTTTCAAGAGCTCTCCCTTTATTTTCCCTTTGACTGACCCATCTCAAAGAGGGCATATCATAGAGATTTTGTCTTTTGCCTTTCTCCCCCCTCCCCCCGCTTTTTCCTTCAAATAGAGAAACCTGCGCGTTCACACACCGAGAAATAACTCTGATGCATCTGTTTTTCCTCCTGTTTCCAGGAAGTGGTTCTGTATTGTTTGGAAAACAAGGCGTGTGATGTGAATCATCGTGACAACGCGGGTTACTGTGCCCTGCACGAGGCCTGTGCCAGAGGCTGGCTGAGCATCGTGCGGCATCTCCTCGAGTACGGCGCCGATGTCAACTGCAGCGCTCAGGATGGAACCAGGTTAGCAGCACCTCTGGCCCCAGCATCGGGTGGTCACCACCACCGGACCCCTTCCCTCTGTGACTTCTCCGTTATGCTCCCCTTGTCCCACCCTCCCCATCCTGCATGAAACCCTCGAAGCTACCAAGGTCCTCCTTGTTGCTGGTCGTTGGGCAGGCACATGCAGTTAATAAAGCAGTGGGGGCACATTTCTGTCGTGACTCGACTTCGGTGTAATTTAATTTTTTTTCTTCTGGGAATTTTCATATGTTGTGCCTTGGTTGTTTTTTGGTGATTTTTTTTTTAGAGTTAGTGAAATTGCCAGCTGCAGGGCAGGAAGGAGGGATGCTTGAGCTGCAGCCCTGCTTGCTCGCCCTCCAGTTCCTTTGAGTTGTGCCAAAAGAGTGGGTTTTGCCTTGTTAGCAGGCTTACTTTAAAGAGCACTTCAGGCTTTTGTGGCGATTGGGTGTGCAAGTCCTGTATATGCCGTATAAAAATGTTGTTTTGCTGAACTGTTAAACTATCTGCTCATTTGATATTTAGGATTTACTTTTTTTTTAAATCCTGAATTAGCCTTTTTTAGTTTCCTTCACAGGATGGTAGGGGTGCTTAGTTCCTGTGCTGGCAGAATAGATAGCAGGCTTTTCTTTTTTGCATTGTGGAGATAAAAATGCTGCTCCCACCTTTTTTCCAAGCTTCTTGTGTATCTCCTAAAGTACCTCTTTGACCACCTCTACGGGGCTGACCTTGGGGTAACTTGTCCTCAGCATATGCGTTATTCAGTCTATGCATTTTGGAGACAGGTCGCTTTGTATTCTCTGAATCTCCTGCAGCTTGTTATCTGAAATGCTTTATCGCATTCCCTATCACCATCCAAATAGCCAGGGAGGTAAAATTAGCATAACTAAGAGCCTGCTTTTGTTTTTAAGCTCTTTATTTATTAACTCGAGAAGGGAGGAGTCAGGAAAACAAAAAGAGGGCTGGTTAGGTGGTCCATTAAAAGTTCATGATGGTCCATTGTTACCGGCCCATCACTGGCCCATCACGGCCCAAAGGAAGCCTTTTTGGAGAAACATTGAGATCCCGACTGGATTCCTCCTCTGTCTGCCCACTTCTTTGTAAGAATTCTGAGTTCTGTAGGCTGCCAAACAGCCTCGCATTTTCTGCTGCCTTCAGCTTTAATACATGACCTATGCAACAGCGGCGAGTTGCCATAAAAGGAAACCTAAATTATTTTTGTCTCACTTGCTGGAATAACCTATATAGAAAATTATCCCCAGGAAGTTTCTGATCAGTCTTAATCACCCGCCAGTTCGGAGTCCACCTTTGATTTCTATTCACAGATGGAGCTGATTTCCAAGAAAGAAACTTGGCTAGTGTACCCTGAGAAGTTGTTTTGGGGAAAATGCATTTTAGAAGTGAACATAATGATGGTCTGATCATAGGCGGTAATGTCAGAACTCAGCTTGCTGTTACCTCTCTTTTCTGAGGACAGACTTCGTTTTCATTTGGAAAGCTGCCCAACAGACAGCGTGAATCCAAAACACATCTAATATACAGATGAAAGGTGGTCTGGATGCCCTGAGCTGGGCAGGACAGAGAGCAGAAGCTTCTGTAAAGAACTTTGGATTGGTGTTATCGCTTTCCTTTTGGCAGGACCAGACTTCTCTGTCTCTGTAGTCAATCAGGACATTCATAAGACAAATCCCATTTCTCTCTTGAACTTTTTCTCCTTTAACTTTTAGGAGGAAAGAGTCGTCAGTCTTCCTCAACTGTGCTGCTTTTAAAATTCAGATTCCTGAACATGTTCAACCCTTAGAAAAATACTAAAATCTTAAAAACAAAACACCCACCCTAAACAAACCCATCATCAAAGACTTGTCCCCTTCCCCTGCTTTTTTAACGACACTGAATATGCTTTTTATTGTCCCCTCTGCCACCTCACCTGGAAGCCTTCAAGTCTGCAGACAGTAACAGTGGATGTGTGTAGTTCTGTTCAGCACAGAGGAGTGATGTAACTGCATGTGCTTTTTGGTTAATGTGGCGGTCTGGGGTGTCCCTTGGATCTCAGCTGCCTGAAAGCTTTGGTCTGTGTTACTTGCTGCCTCTGCAATCAGCTTTTTGGAGGACACTCTGAAGAGTTGTGACAAGTGAGGATGTGTCTTTAGTCTGTACAAAAAAATGTCCACGTGAATGTGAAGGATGTAGTAAAGTTCTGCAGAGTCAGTGCATCTCTCCTTCCAGTCCTGCCTGAAGTGCAGCAGGTGCTCTGATCGGTGTGCTGGTTTTGCACGTGTGTGTTCTGGGAGCGAAGCAAATACCTGAGCCTCTTGCTTTGGTGTTGCCTTTTATGTAGCCACACAGCCAGTCTGCCTTAAGTTTAGTAGGTAAGGCAGGCTTTCAGCCTCTGGTTCCTAATACCATCAGTTATCTTGGTGAAGCCAGAAACAAACAAAGCACCAGACTGTAGTGGCAGTGCAAGGAGGTGGCAGTGTTTGGGAGTGTAGGTGTGGTGCAGTCCTTCCCTTCACCAGCAGCTAGGCGCCAGGGCTCTGCCTGCAGCGCAGGATGTCCCTCTCTGCCCTATTCACAGCACATCTGGCCAGGCTAAATGTGGTAGGTTTTTGATGTTTTTCCCCTTAAACTCTGCTGATAGACCACATGCAGCGCCTGTAGACCCTGAATACACAAGCAGTCTGCTGCTCAATTAGTGCCTAATCAAAGATTATTGTAGAACCCGGAGATCTTTAAGACCTGTCTCCGAGGTGCCGCAGTCACTAAGGGCTCTTAATCGTCTTACCTATAAATAATAATAGACCGTGCTTAAGAGTTGAGCGCTTCCCTTCCCTTACAGGACCCCAGTAAGTGCAGTAGCTCATCAAGGGGCGTTCGACGGCCGGTGCCAGACATTAGCAAGGATGTTTGCCGAGTGTCTTTGGCCTTATCTCCTTGTTCTTCTCCTTTTACCTCTGCGACATGCCCTAGCTGAACCGGTGCCAGTATAGAAACAAAGCCACATGCCAGAAATACAGGCATCCTCTGCCTGTTAGCGAGGGCTCTACATTGCTCCAGAGTTTGTTCCCTGGATTTGCTCTCCGAAGCCAGTTTTGCTGTATCCTCCTTGCTGGCAGCTGATGAGCTCAGCCTTTTTTTATTTTTTTCCCTGGGAAGACCATGCCAAGATGGCTCTCTTCCTGTGTCCTTTCATCTGGTCTTGGCAGAGCCATACCTTCCAGCAGCTAATTGCGTTAAAGAAGAGTCAGCCTGCGTAGCTGCCCTCTTGTAACTTGTGCCTTGCCTCTTCCGAGGGGCAGCGTTGTGTAACGGAGTGGATGGAAATAAAAATAAAACGCCAGAATATGGTATTGCTCGGCGAGTTACAAGACCTCTTACTGCAGTGAGGAAAATTCTGGTGCCTGAAAGGCTGGGAGCAAACCCTGACTGGTGTAAATAGTTTATAATTTTGGTAGTGGAATGATAAACCCCCAGTGAAATGTTTTCTTAACTGTAGTGGTGGTAAAAATAGTAGGAAGAATTCGACAGTACACAAGAGAGGGTTGAGATGTGTGTCTTCTGTAGGATATTGCAGCTCTTGAATGTCCCCAGATCCTTCTGGGGCCTTTTGAAGGGTTTGTTTTAGAAACGAGCTGCACTACGTTAACTGTACCATTAGGGATAGAGAGTGTTTATTTCCACGATGCTCAGGGCGGAAAAGATTGTATGGGCAAATCCTCTCCAGGAGAGGACTCCCAGGGATCTATTTTTTTGACATCTGAAAAAGTTGCCTATTCCAATAGTCGCTTTTGCATCCTACAAAGAGGATGGTTAAACTCTGCCAAGACTGAAAAATACTCCCTCCTCTGCTGGCCCTGCTGGGAGAAGCAAACGAATAGCTCTGCCTTTGCATGGTCCCACTTGTGAGCTTGCCAAGAAGCTGTTCTAGCCAGTGAAAGAGTCTGTCAGTGCTCCGTTTTTGCCTTTTTCCCCCTGACTTATCTATAGGAATCTCCTATTCTCCTCCCTCCCTGCCAGTGTTTTCTTTCCTTCCTCCTATTTATTGTTCTTCCTTCTTCCGCACGGCTTTACTACGCCTTTCCTTCCCCATGCCTCTATAAAGTCCCCTCTCATGCCTGGGCAGCCTCCCTGTGCACCCTTAGACAACAAAGGTGGGTCTACCTGCCCTGCTGCCTCTGCCTGTCTGCACCACCACACCGGGCTTGGTGACCTGTAGAAAGGGAGAGAGAGGTTCCATCACAGGGTTACAGCCCATGTGCTGCCATTTTTCCTTCCTGGGGAATGCCCAGGCACCCTTTAATAAACTGGTTTGAGTGTCGTTAAATCAATTGAAACACTGAGTGGTGATTTAGATGCTGTTTTTAATAAGTTAAGGGATCATCTTGAATTCATTACTGCTTCAAAAGCCACTTAGGTAAGTCAGTTTAAAAAGAAGAAAACCCCAAGCAACACAAACAAGTAAACCCACAAGCCAATAATCCCCCAACACTCTTCAACCCCCCTCCCCAAACCAGAAAATCGTAATTCTGAAATTAAATTTAAAACTGTGTGAAATTAAAGACTCCAGTAAAGTGAAGGAGTGGGGGAGAAAAAAGCATGATTTGGCAGCAGCCGTAACTCTCGTCTGTTCCCGGTGTCTGTTGCCAGACTTGCAGCCAGGGATGCTGCATGCCCAGTGGGGGACAGGAGGGTTTGCAGCAAGGCTGACCTTTCCTGCTGTAGATGCTCAGAGTGCCGTGACCTGGCAGCTCCGGCCTCAGATGCCTGCTGACAGCCAGAAACACCCGATACTCCTTCAGCCTCTCTGTCGGCACCTCTGTTATTTGTTCCCTCTTGCCTTGTGTCGCCTGGGATGTTCAGCACCGATCCTGGATGCTCCGGCTGCCGCGTGGGCGCGCGGTGCTGCGGCAGTCCCTGTGCGGAAGCACTGAGTCAGGAGGTGGAGGTGGGAGGATGAGGCTTGTGGGGGATCCCGGGAATGCTGGCTTCTCCAGCACTGTTCTGTCTCAAAGGCATCATATAGTTTCAGTGTTATGTTAGAGACGTTCCCTCAGAAACTGAGAAGGGATATCCTGACCCCTTTGCAAGTGATCCTTGTGGACCTCTCCGGTCTTAAAATGTTAAAGTGGCTTTCCAAAGAACGGGATGTTGGGCTTTGAAGGCGTCCACGTCTTGTGCTCTCTGCTGCCAGGGCTCTTGAGGGCTAGCACAAGCTGGATTGAGAACTGCGCTCAGCAGCTTGAGGATCACCTGCTTCTTCACTCATGGCAAGGGGTGTGCAGGAGGCAGGCAGCATGGGATAAGCCCTCTCTCCATAGGGAACGAGCCGCAAAGCCCCCAAGTGCACCTCCTCATGTCAATATGTCGTGCATACGTAAAGCCAAAATGGCATACACCTCTCCAGCAAGATGGGGGCAAGCAAGAGTCCTTCCTGTGACAGACATTAATCACCCTAAGTCATGCCCTACTGAAAAGTACTTGGAGTAAGCACATCTGGAGCATCTTTTTGAGATGTGTCAGAGTCCCTCTCCTCCTTCGCCTCCCAGCAGTGCTGTGTGATAGATGGGAAAACGGTGGTGTGCCGTCCTCTTCTGACTGATTTGATCCTCCCCTCCTCTGCCCTGAGCTCATGTGGGTGCCAGTTCATGCCAAAAGAGTGGTGACATAGAGGGAACATTGCCACGTGAGGCAGAAGGAGTGGTTGGATGTGACCTCTTCTCAGGAGGGAGTTTAAGCCCTGGTTGTTAGCTGAGTGTTGCTTGGCAGATCAGTAGACAGAGCAGAGAGGTTTGCTTGGCTGTGCTTCCAGATGACTTCCCCTAGGTAACATCATTCTGAAAGCTTTCCAGGAAGGCAGTATGTGATCCTAGTTAAAGTCCTTCCTTGCCTTTTTCATACAAGCTCTGTGAGAGCTTGAAAGCCTTGTTGGGGGGCAGTGGTGTTGACAGCCTAAAGGAGGAGTGCTGAGCTGAGTTGAACTGCCATGATCACTGTCCATGCATTTGACTCCCCTTTCAGTTCCCTGCACTTGTCTAAGGAAAGGATGGGATTTTAACACATCTTCATTAGTCTGAAGGGTAATATGTTCTACTCCCAGACAACTCCCTGTTACGTATAATCAATTTTAAAGGCAAAAGTTAATGCGATTTATAATTAGTGATAAGGAATTCTAAACCTGGAATTGCAGGCATGTGCATTAATGAATAATCCTTCTGGAGGCTCACAAAATCTGTGTCTGAGCTTGTATAGATTGCTCATGCCATGTTAAATATGTTAATTTCTGGGTGGACTACACTTAAAATAACATGTTTTTCTGTTCTCTGATTAGGAGGGTGGAATTGTGCTGCAAATATATTCACAAGTGCTGTTTAAAGAGGATATTCTGCACGGAAGTTTAATTCCTAGCAAATTTTCATAACTTATTTCTGTGTACATAATTTAGGAGCTTTGGGTAACTGATTTCTGTGCTTGCCCAGAGGCAGCCTGAGCGAGCCTTACTCCACAACACGCTGTTAAATTGGCAGAGATTTGGAACGGTAGAGTGACTTGCAGCAAAATTATGTTTGTGAGGCTTCACACAAACTCCTGCTTTCTGTTACAGCGGTGTAATTATTTTACTGGCCCTCAAAATGTGTGCAGCAATGAATAGACATAACAGAAATATCTGCCCTGAGCAGTCTGACTGTGAAGATGAGGGGAGGGGGTGATGTGCAAGTAAAACCGACAGTAAGATGGTGATTGGCAGCTGTATTAATAGTGCTACTTTCTATAAATAACTTTGATCTACAGTCAGAAGTTTCTTGTCAAACACATTTGCATAATACTGTTGAGTCAAAATGTAACGCCGTGATTCTTTTTTTTTGTTTCTCCCTCCAGACCAATCCATGACGCCGTCGAAAACGACCACTTGGAAATCGTCCGCCTGTTGCTGTCTTATGGTGCTGATCCAACACTTGCAACCTACTCTGGGAGGACCATCGTGAAAATGACCCACAGTGAGCTCATGGAGACCTTCCTCACAGGTCAGTGCCCACATTGCCTGGGGGCTTTGCTGGTCGTGGCAAATGGGGGGTTTTGTTCCCTGGCCTCCCAAAGTCCCTCCTGCCTGGAAGGGATGGCTCCATGCCAAGAAACCTCAGGGTGAGCAGTAGCTCCCTCTCTGCCTGCAAAACCCCAGCAGCTGCAGGTGGGAAGCACAGCCATGCATGGGGGCTCCTTCTAATTGAAACTCTTAATAAGTCATAAGGATTATTCCACTGTCAGATTTGCTAGGTAGGTGGGAGGTCAGCGGACTGTTTCCGTGCCTTCGGCTTTCTGTTTGAAATGAAAATAAGAAACTTGCCAAATCGAATTGCTGCTTGTTAAACATACTCATATTTTCCCGTGGTCTTGCTCTTTATCTTAAAGTGTTTTCCTTTTTGCAAGTTCTGCCTTGTTTTATATCTGAAATGCTGTAAAACTACATTAAAGGCTCTTGTCTTTAAACATATCCATGTTGTAACACGGATTTAGGGTTTTTTTCCTCTTAGTGTTGGATGAAGACACTGCATTCCCTAATAACCTACCTCTGAAGGTGTTCACAGTCAATCAGTTTAAGAACTCATCCACTTATCTCTTCAAATGGTGTAGTGTAGAAATCCCATAGGTGTATCAGGACTCCAGAAAAATTCAGTGTCTTGGACTTCTTAGCATCCTGAATCACAGTATCTTTTCATCAACGCAGTTAGTAAATCTCCCAAATTATGTCTGTAGAAAAGAATTACATCTTCTGAACATATCTGTGTGGAAAAAGCTTTTTTATCAGTTTATTTGGGGCCACAGTTTCACCCCCAAGCTGGTGTCCAGAATAACTGGGAAGGCCGAAAGGTGTGATGCATCCTGTTTTCACAAAACTAAAATGCTGCTCTGAGTTTCTGAAGCTTAGGGTTATGTCTGTCCCTGTTAGACCCTGGGTGATTGTTTGATGTGGTGGTTCATTATTTGATGTGAGAGTATGGTGTGCAGCATGTGCACCAGGAAAATAGTGTGGGATTTTTTGATGAAAGGTATGGAGGATGCATATTGAGTCTGTATGACACGCGGTCTGCTAAACTTGCCAACTTTTTGTTCTCATCAGTATGTTTTTGTTGTTGTTTTTTCCTCTCCAGAGTATTTAACTGACCTGCAAGGTCGAAGTGTTGATGACCCTGGTTTGTACTGGGATTTCTATGGCAGCTCTGTGTGCGGTGAGCAAATGTTGCCCTTTATTTCTTTGTATGCGGAGACTTTAAAAACATGCGGCACGTGGGGGTGGGGGCTGTTTAGTTTTCATGGTGGAGGAAGCTAGGAAGGAAGCAAACTGATTTTATTTACAGATCACGTTATTGGAAGAAAAAGCAAGGCCTGCAACAGTCTTTTCAATGCTGACTTGGCACCTTTTATTCAATTTTATTCAGATCCGAAAGATGAATCTGGATTTGACGTCTTGGCAAATCCTCCTGGCCCAGGTGATGAAGATGAAGATGGATTTAGCGATGTGTTTGAATTTGAATTTTCAGATGAGCCTCCCTTGCCGTGTTACAACATTCAAGTGTGTCTCTCTCAGGGGTAAGAACAAATGCAGGTTTTGGGGTAAAAACAGCTGAGGCGATCAGCTTGGGCTGGTGGCAGTTTGTGTCTGTGGGGAAAAGCATTTGCATTTATGCAGTGTGAATGAAAGATCAATGCTGTGATTGCTGGGGTTTTTGGGAAATAAGCTAATGGGAGGTGAGAGGGGGAAAGGCTGATTTGTCAGGGCTGAGTTTTGAGTGCCATACACTCAAGCCACAAGTGACGTTTGAACACAAGTTCCTTCCCTCATCCCAGACAGCACCTTGTTAAAACATCCCAAAATACCAGTGTTTCTAGCGCTTAATTTTGGATATCGTGTTTGTAAAGTGTTGTTAATTGTATTTTATGGGCTTTTCTGTTCTGCTGAGTGGACACGCTTTTGCGGATGACAAAATGACACCATTACTGCTTTTCTAGACTTTGTAGCAAAACTGGTTTAAAGCTCTGAATTGGAACAAACAAATAAGCATGTTAGAGAAGATTCTATGATGTTTAATAATAAGCAAAGACCTGGAAAGTTGTATTATCTATTATGTTCAAGATATAAATTAGCTTTGTAAACAGCTACTGTTTACCATTTGCACCAATTTTGATGACAGCTGTGAGAAAAATAGTTTTAAATATTGATCATGAAGGAGTGCAGGTTTTACCATGTTTTTTATTATTTGGGTGATAGATGTAACTTAAGTTCCCCAAAGTGGACAAGATTAAATTTAAAATACCTGAGGAAAAAAAAACAACTCACTGTTTACTTCTGTTTAATATCAGCATCTCTGGAAGTCAGAGATGCTGAATTTTGTGGTTATAACTATAAACCATCTCCTAACTTGCTAAATGGGGGTTGGGCTCAGCCAGGTGAACCAGCTGTACGAGCAGCTGTTGGGATGGCTGCTGGCCCACATGTGCACTCATGAGCCCAGGTTTTATAGGCTCCAGTGCCTCTGCATGCCTGGACCTCTCCTTCCTCAAAGCTGTGGGCAGCAGGACTCCAAATAAATACATACACTCCGGCACATCTGTTATTCGACCCCGTGGGTGACAGCCTTGATGTCAGAGAGGTTGTTTGTGAGGGTGTGGTCAGGGAGGGTTTGTCACACAGTGACACAATGACAAGTCAAGAAGCCCATGACTTAATGTCAGTTATTGGAGCCTCTTTCTCCTTCGCTTCCACAGACCACGAAACTGGCTTTTGCTCTCGGACGTGGTGAAGAGGCTAAAAATGTCGTCTCGCATCTTCCGCTGCAACTTCCCCAATCTGGAAGTCGTCACCATCACGGAGGCAGAGTTTTACAAACAGACTTCCCTCAGCCAGTTGTTCTCTTGTGCTACGGACCTTGAAGCATTTAACCCAGAGAGCAAAGAGCTGTTGGACTTGGTGGAGTTCACAAGCGAACTCAAGACTTTGCTCGGCTCCTCGCTTCACTGGTTGCATCCGCACGAGGACCCTCCCTTTGACATCCTCTGGTGAACCATCAGGCCATTTAATGTACAGTGCTCTATACAGTTACTTCTTTATTATGTATATGTGTTCAAATTAAATTGTTTCTGTAAAGAAAGGACACTATTAAATATGAAAATATCTTTTCCTTTATATAAGAGATCTGAATTCCAGTTGGATGGATTTTGGAAAAATTTTTTTTTAACTTCAATCAGTTTTTACAAAATTGTTATATAATGTTTCTTTAAATGCACACAGGCTTTGGGATAAGTTTGTTATTACTCGGAACACACTTTATTTTTAAAGAACACACCCACACATTGACTTTGTTTCATACAAAGCACTGATTACACAGAACATACTTTTTCTAGGTGATGTGATCAAAGTCGTGTGGCTTGTTTGGGAGATAGAATTTGGTAAGGCACTTGGTTATATTATTTTTGTTTTTTTTGTTTACAGAATTACCTGCTTTGGCCAGGTAAGCACTATTGAATATAATTCAATAGTTTTAAATATAAATTAAACCATATCCATACGCATCAACTAATTGTAAGAACTTTTATATCCTAATTTAAAAGCTGTGAAATTTAGTTTTCACACATCAAACCGGATTGTTTATATATGTTTAAACATTTTATGCTCTTTATTTAAAGAAGACTTTGAACTATTTTTTCTGTACCTTGTAAAATATTGAAAAACTAACATATGTTGAAGTTGCTTGAAACTGTACATAAACTAAATTTTCTGAATTGTGTGTTTATGTTTGAGATCTGTGTTTTAACTTTGTAAGTAAATCTTCTGCCTTTGTATTTATATTTTACAAAAATTTTCTTAAAGGCAATAAAACTGTTGAGAAATGAAGAGGCTAAAGTGACTCCCGTTAATTCCATGCCTGGCTGTGACATGAGCTTTGCCTCATTAACGTTTATGAAAAGAGGCTCTGGGAGTAGTTTCCAAAGTGGAACAGGGCTGGCACAGGTGCTGGTGAGGTGCTGATGAAATCTGAGGTAGAATCTATGTCAGCTTTCTAAATTCAAAGTTGCAAGAAAACATCAGGCAGGCGTACTTGGTGGGACAGAATTTTAAAAATGGTGTTCACTATACTTTCTGCATCACCTTTTAGTTAAAGAATTGTGAGTAGGCTCAATTATTTTCCCTCCTTTGAGTTGGCTGAGTTCTCCTTCCACCGGAGTCGGCAGAGGGGAGGAGAACAGTACCAGGGGAAATGCTTTAATGTGGAGCATTAAAGCTATGAGCACACTTGGGGGGGATCTAAAGGGACAGTGACCCAAATGTCACTTTTGCACAGCTCAGGAACTTGCATCTGAGAGTCTGGGCACTCTGGGCTTGGGCAGACCCTCTCTTCAGGATCTGGATCTGCCCTTCCCCTTGTGGAAAGAAGTTCTTGCTGTGAACTCAAACTCCTGAGTTTTACTTTGGGGCTGTTCTTACCAGGAGTATGTCTTGTGATAGCCAGTTACCTCTGAGGTGTTTAAATCGTGGTGCTCTTCTGATGAAGGCCAGAACCCACACCAGAAGGGTCTCGAGCAGAGCACCTAGTCAATCTTGAGAAAAGCATCTGGGAAAAAGTTTCTCCATTGTCCTCAGGGTCTGGGAGAATGATGCCTCATTTCTGAAGGTGAACTGGAGGGAGATACTCAGAGCTGGTGCTTCTCATGGCTTGTTGCCATAGAGTCTTTTGCCAAACATTTTTACTGTGTGTCTTACAGTGGGGCTGTTTCTGTGGTAAGGTGCTTTTGTAGCCAAGCCAAGAGGCGAGAGAGGGGTCCAAAATCTGTCTGCTGCTGGCAGCTGAAGTTCCATTTCTGCACAGGACAGGGAATTTTTAGTCCTTACGCAACTACCAACGTCTTGCTTCAGACTTTGGATAATGAGGATGGTGATCTCTCCTGCACGGGTCATACGGGCACGCTGGGAGAATGGAAACACAGGCATCACTACTACTCCCTGTTGCTGGCTGCTTTTACCCCCTGATTTTCCCAGGAAGAAGAGATGGGCCAGAAAATTAAGGCAAGGGAGAACATTAAAAGCAATTGTTACAGACTCCTTTTATCTGGTCAGCTATGTAATGCTTGGATGGCTTGAGCTGAGTATAAATCAGCTTCGTGCTACTTCCAGGGGAGCGTGGCAAACACCTCTCTGAGCCCCTCAGGCAAACAGAAGATCGACATGGCTTCCTCTTTTTGCCCAGCTCCTCCTCAAATAATCCTGAGCACGTGCTCCCCAAGCATCTCTGCTTAGTCAGCTTTCCACTATCTCCAGGAGTACAGTTGGGCCTTCTCCATGCTGGCGCTTGCATCCGTGCTCAGATACAGTAACAGCCTCATGCTGCTGTAATGCAAGTGTGTGCCTGCCCCGGGGCTGTCTGTGCTCTAAAAATAGGGTCATGGCGGGGAACACCTGATCCCAGTGCTGTCCCTTGACATAACTGTACCTGTTTCATCTTTTAGGATGTACTTTTTAAAAAAAGATTTGCTTTGTGAGGGTGCTGGAGGGAGCATGGAGGGTTCAGTGAAGCAGGAGGGCAGCATCCCACACTGCTGGGTGCACGATGCTGGCTTGGCTGACGCTGTGCTGGGTGGTTTGGGAGAGATTGTCACGGGAGAGACAGGATGCCTGAGTAGTTTTGCAGTAGGCAAGCCCAGGGGATAGTTGCCTTGGGGAGAGGAGAGGTGGCAGCATGCTGGCAGGGACTGAACTCGGTGACAGGAGTGTAGGAAGGGAAGTTGGAATGCTCTCTGCCTTGCCAGCACTGGGATTGTCTAGATCCCACACAGTGGAAAGCCAGGATTGGGATAGCTCCAACCAGCATGGCTGAGCAGGGCTGGGAGGGGACTGTGTTCAGCATTTCAGTTTCTGAATTCGTGCTGCTCTCCTTTAAAGCCCTTTCCTGTGCATCCTCCTTGGGCCATGGATGCTTGCTTTGCACCACTGGCATTGCTCCAGGTTAATAAAAAATAAGGAAACAGAAACGCAGCCTTTGGGGATGGTAAAACCCTGCTGATCCTGTTTCTTGCCTTCTGCAGGGTGGAAGTGCAGTGTTGATGCTGCTGGAGCCAAAGCTAAGGTGTTTCCTTGAATTTCCCGTGCTTATCACTTGGATTTGCCTGGCTGTGAGCTTGTGCTGCCCCGTGGAGGTGTTGGGAGAACCACTGGTGCTATAGGGAAAAACCCCATCTCCAGCTAGAGCAGGCAGGTGAGTCTCACTGAAGGGAGGTTCCTTTGTGAAATTTTTACTTGTTGCTAGCTGGGAAATCCCAGGAAATACCCAGCTCCAGGCTGGCTGCCTGGGGGGGTACAAGGGGAAGCCCTGGCATGGTTAGTGCTGAGAGGTTTCCCCTGAGATAAACCATGCTACTGAGTACACAAAGTACTAAACTCCTCCTTTGCCTTACCCAAGAGGACTGGGTTCTGCAGAGTGAGGTCAGCCCTGGGAGTTTCCCCTTTGGGTTATTTGTCCCGTCAGCCACTTCTCTCATTTCGTTGCTCTGGTGTCATAGCAGGAGTCTTGTGCCAAAGACTGATACAGTGTGACAAGAAAGGGCCAGAGGAAGTGTTCAAAAAGATGTATAGATGTGACTTAGACACATGGCTTGGTGGTGGACTTGTCAGTGCTAAGTTAACAGTTGGACTTAATGATCTTAGAGGTCTTTTCCAACCTTAATGATTCTATGATTCTGGTTTGCAGGATCACAGGAGCAGAATGGAAATTGTTTTAAAAACTGCTCCCGGGGGCCAAGCTAACTCCATGAATAAAAAGAGTTTGAAGCTGACTCCTCCCTTCATTTCTGGGCGAAATAATAAAACTATAGATGAGGCCCATCATTTGTGCATTAATATGAACAAGGTGTCAGGGAATGGTAAGTGCAGACAGCTGCCATTCCCAGGCTCTGTGGGGCTGCTGGTAAACATTCAGCATAATTTCTTTAGTTCACACAGGAAAAAGGCACACATTACTACTTTAAACTTGTACAGATGCAAGGTAACAGGAAAAATAGTGTATTATCTACTGAAAATTGTTTGTAGAACATCTTATATTAGTTTCAGTATGAGTCCAATGTTTGTAGGAGAGGTCTTGGCACCACTACACAGGACAGAAGAGTTGAATGCCGTAATTGTGAAGATACGTATTAGATGTTTTCTCAATGTGCTCATTCACCATTGCATTTCTGCTAGAAGGAGGAGTAGGAGAAGAAAGTGACTGGAATCCAACAAGTTTATCTTTCTGAGCTTGAAGCGACATCAGGGGTAAAAATCCCCAAACAGATCTGAAGCAGATGAAATTCTCTCTGCACCATGATGTCCACCCACATCAGCCTTGCTAGTTCTGCATTTCACCCCTTAGTGTGCTTTTCATGGGTTCGCCGTGATTGCAGAGTGAAGGGACTATTTTCCTGTGGGTTAAGTGTGATGGATCATTAGAAGCAACACTGCCTTCTGCCTTTGAGGTGAAGGCAGCACATTGCTTGTTTCTGGTTTTCCAGTCCTGGAGCAAACCTTGTCCACACCATGTGCACATATCATCCAGCAGAATGACGTGACTGTAGATGGTTGCTCTCTTGAGCCAGGTATGAACCACAGATCTGTCACTAAATAGATTTTCCTTTTGTTGTCACATTAATTTGCAACTCATTAATAGTGACAGCAGTGAGGTACTGCACTGATGCAGATTTGCATATTCATGGTAACTTATTATTAAACAAATAAGATTTTCCTAGCTTAGGAAGCACACAGAGTAATGCCACATTGTGCATTATAACAGCCTGAATGTTTTATTTTCTTTTTAATATGTTAATAGATGCAAGGGGTGCTCTTTTTTTTTAAGTAAATGTGCATCTATAAAATAGTGTGTAATTTAAAATATCACAATTGTTTAAACAGTAATCCATTAGCAAACCTGCCAATAATTGAGCACAAATACCTATTTAATGTATGAATCAATTAATCAATTCTAAATGCTGGCTTTGTCGCCTGATGACCGTAACACAGGCAGTACCAGCAAGGCACAAGCAAGTCACTGTACCAAGGAGGTGAGCCTGAGGCGAGGAGATGATCCCGTGTTTTATGGTTCGTTAGAGCCAAATTGTTTGGTTTTCATAGTTGCTTTTGTTTCTTTGCCCCAGAGGAGTGGTGGGGGAGAAAGCGAAGACTGAGCTTGGTGTGATACCTGCTGCCACCTTCTCATCTTAGCTCCACAGGTACCCCCCGTTCCCCCTCTTCTCTGCCAGCAGGCACTTCCCACAGGTACTGCCTGGTCACCAGCTGTGGCTGGGAAGGAGGAGGGCAGTGCCCTGGCCCCCAGCATGACAGGTGGGCAGTGAGCAGCATGCTCCCCTGGCACAGTGGGTTCCTTCCCCCTCTGCTGAAGAAACCATGGTGGAAAAGCCCTTGGAGTTCAACAGCCCCTCAAAATCCGCAGGTGGGAGGAATGGGAGATGTAGGGCCATCCAGCAGGCAGGGGGTTTAGTTCACTTGTTGGTAACAGTGAAGGTCCTTTGGCCGCGAAGCAGCACAACTTTTTTCTATTGGGCTGTTCAAGACCAGCCAGCATTCATAGCAAACCCCTCTTCAGATCCCTACTACCACATTTTCTGTATAGATCTTCTAACAATTTGTAGGGTACTGGGCATAATTACAGGTGTTGGAACCAGATGGTTATTGCAGTTCCCCTCAGTCCTCAAGTTAGGTTTTTTCCTGAACTTGACTTTCCAGAGGCCTTTGACGGTGTTGCCTGACCACAAGGCCAAATGTGGTTCTTACCCCATCCTGCTGTTTCCTTGTGAGTCACAAGCCACCCCCTTTGAACCACTGGCTTGTGCTTCCAGACTCCACAGGCTCTGG